CCTCCAAGCCTTGATCCTGGTCGAATTGGTCATGGCATGGAGACGTCTGGTTTCTCTCGGCTGTGTAGCATTGGCACTTGGGTTTCCTGCTGATGGCAATCTCGCCATTTCTGACATCCGCTCTCTATCCTCATATGGCTAAGGGCACGAGTACCTATTCCTGCAACAGCTTCCGGTCCGGCTAGAATGGGAAAGATGTTTTCTCTTCTTTTTCAGCTTCTCAACACGACAACCCACCCATGCAAAGACCATTGGCCATGGGCTGGGTCGATCGAACTGGTGGCTGCGGTCAAATTCACGGGGGATTTTTTTTTTCCCTCTCTTCTTTTCCGATTCCTGATTTTGCTCCCAGGGCTTACGAGTACTAGAGACGAGATGAGTCTTTGGTATCATGCGGTGGTTTTTTTTTAGCGACTCCAGTGGCCAGGGCGGCGAGGGTCCTCAATATCAGCCAGACCAATGAGAGCACACCACGTCTCTGCCATACCACACCAGATCCCGCGCAGGGCCACCGTCCGCCGCCGTCGCCGGGGCTGTTGTGTGGCTTCCCACCCTAGCACCAGCCAAGCACGTCAACTCCTCCGCAGGGCTGGACCTCCTGTGGGAGCATTCGGACCAGAGAAGGGCGGTTTTGTCGAGCCAGCACATCCAGCGTCTGTTGGAGCTTCAAGGATGAGCTATCCAATTACTCAATGGATGTTCATAAGCGAAGCCATAGAGGAGCCCTGCGACACGGGACTAGTGATTGCTTAGGAATTGGGCTCTTGCTCTCTGATCTTCGTGCTCCTCACCCTTCTTCCTCTGCCGAATCTAGAAGCTAGCGTCTGCCGCCGGATTTCTCTTGATGCTGCACCCTCGAACAACCACGACCCCGGTGATGGTTTCTTGCCTCGAAGTCTCCAATTTGCAAGTCCCTTCACTATAGAGTACTACGTGCAAACAGCATGGCTAAGACAAACAGGAAAAGAGGCCTGAGCCTTGAAGCCTGAGCAGAAGAAATTCAAAAAATCCGCGCTGGTTGATTATTATGGTGGGTGCGGCTTCATACAAGTGCGCACTTGCCTGCAGATGGATGGGACAAGCGTGTATTTTTGGTGAGACTGGCCCCGGCTCGGCAGATGTATACCATCGACCTGTACGAAGTACGGGTACAGTCTACAGATACAAGTACATGCGCAGAAGAAAGGTCCGCTTCACATGGAAGGCCGAGGGTTGTTCTATATGACTTCCCCTCACCATTTTGCTGTACGATAACAATGCCCACTAGTTCTACCCTATTTGTGAAGTACATGTCTGCGATGTACAATATAACGACTGTTCCAAAGGAACCAGGGCACTATCGAAAAGCAAACGGCTTGTCAAGGGCAGAATAATTTCGCCATCTGTCAGGTTTAGGGGTCCCCAAACGGACGAGGTAAGACAAAATGAGGCGAAACGATGGTATATTTGATGGCAACTCGCAGGCAATCACTTTTCTTCTCAAGAAATTGGCCACCATGGCGAAAGACGCCATACGAGGCTCAATGCTACGGCTTCTGCTGGATGTACTAAATCGGGTCCAGTACCTTTTCATTTTCAACGCCCGTTTGCGTAACTATTTTATACGGCTTAACTCTTGATAATCTGTGGCTACCAGGATGCTCGCGGTCGTCGTGTTGTCTCTGGCTTTCAATCCCCTTCAGCCAACCAACCAGCACAGACCGCTGGACTGTCTTTCCCTGCGAATTTCCACAGTCCTAGTGACATACTGTTTATTAATGAAAAGGCAGTCTCACCTGAGCACGATACAAATAGGTACTACAAGCAAATAAACGGCATAAACGTCTAGTTAGGCCAGCTAACTCCGGCAGCTGCTGTACTGTACAAACGATACATATACATACGCATGTTGCGTGTACAGTAGCAGCTGGGAAATAATAGCGTGATGGATCTTTGGCGTGGTCAATCCTCCGTCCTTTCTTCTCTCAATTCACGCTCATGCAGTCTCCAGAAGCTGTTTGCTTCTTTGGAACCACGTGGTCAGTGCTATATGTACTCTGCAATTCGACGTCCGTTTGCTTCTACACCGAGTGGAGCATATGCCCGGAGGAAGAGGACGTGACATGCCGTGGTTCGCTCTTTGCCCACGTCTTTTTCGGGGCTCTGCCGGCAGTCTGCTCAGACCGAAACTTTTCTCGGCCGCTATGGATTTCTATGTCCGACGATGGCCACATTTCCCTACGATGGACCCTCCGGAGTACTATCCCCTTCTTCCATCGTCTTGCCGCTCAAAACTGGAGACGTTGATAGACCTGGGTCTTGGTGGTCTAGTTGTCTAGTTGTCTAGCTTCTTGGTGGCTCCATTGCCTAGCGCCTCGCTCTCCCCTCACCGCTTATTGCGTTGCTCGCGCGCATGCTGATGGATTAACAGCCCCTTCCCTTGCATACCCGATTTTGCATGGTGCCACTCTGGAGGGGGGCGTGCGGATGGGGGCGTGCGGGCGATTCGGCTGGGTTGACGGAGGCTCTCGCTGGCCCAGCCATTTTTTCTCCAGTACGGTACTAGGTACTCCTCACAAATCGTCCTGTGAGCCCGCTCAAACCATTCTACTGATACGTACTTTCTCCTTCTTGTCTTGTGCTGGGGCCTTTGCCAGCTCAGAGGTAACGGGGGGGGGGGGATGGATCCGCCCGCCAACGACACGGTCCGTGGGCAGACTGCAGAAGTCCTTTCCCATGGCCACGGTACAAGTCTGTGGTCAAGCTGTTGGTGGCTGTTTGCTAGACTGATGATGTCTAGGGGGAGCAAAGGCGCGTTTCGAATTAGAAGACGGGAAAAGAATTGCCTTGCCAACCGTGGTAGTCGAGGCATACGACGAGACTGATACCACCAAACGCAAGTATGCAAGCAATACTGCCTATTCGTACATGGGATGTGCAGCTGTAGGTCCAAAAGCAAGAAGGGCAAATTAGGTGCAGCCGGGGCCACGGCTGGCGGCAAAGAGGGCAAAAACAAAAAAAAAAAAAAAAAAAAAAAAAAAAGGAAAAATAGAGCCATGACAGCTGCCTGCGTTGGGGGTGGCCAGGGCCGGCCCCCGGTCCTCTCCCCCCTCGTCATTGATGCTCCTTACAGCATGATCACCATCACATATGTACAAGCAAAACGAAACGCTGGCGAGAAGGGAGCTCTGCCGATAGGAGAGCTAGAGTGGCTGGCAAGGGCAAGCGCCCGTAATCGCACTTATTATAGCACTCGAGATGGGTACCCTGTGTAGTACGCTGCGTGGCCGATGGCGTTAAAAAGACATGTCCGAGCTCACAAAGATCTGGGAGATTGATACGGTTTGGCTTCTTCCTCTCTCGTCTCACGCAAGCAGCATGTGTTGGGATGTACAGCATTCAAGTGCAAAGGGTGCCAACTGTGGGGATACATTAGCTCTCATGCTGCATGAACAATGAATGAGTAGGGTGATTGTCAACAAAGCTCCATGATCCCCCAGTTCAAACGCAATGGCTGGGCTTTGTATGCTCGTGTGAGCATGTGGGCATGTGAGCTAGAAGACGGACGGAGGCGTTGAGGCACAAAGTATTGTGTCGCGTACGGCACTCGCATGAGGTACCAGTATGTGAATCTGGTATGTACGTCTCCAACTGACGTACATACATACATGTGCATGGAGGCTCATCTGTCTTGCCCGTGCATGGCACACTATCTCACCTTGGTAGCCTGCAAGGTGGGGATTGGCTGGAAGCTTCCGGGACTCCGTATGTAGGTGAGGAGAAGCGACATTGAGCAGCAGCCGCCGCCGAGGCATACAGCTCAGCTCTTGTACGGTCGGTGAGGAAGACCGCTGAAGAGGAGAATGATGTTTGCAAAGAGAAGAGCATGCCGAGCGGCATGGCGCTTTGACGGGTTGGTCTATGTAAGTCACCCCGCCCTTGTTGAGAGATTAAACGGTATGGACGTGGCATTCTATGTGATACCTGGTAGTAGTACTACTACTACTTCTGGTACTACCGGTGCTGGGACCCCCATGTTCTGGCTCATATCACATTAATGAGCGGTTGCATAGCCGAGATCTCAAGGCCGAGGCTTTGCATCGAATGGTGCTCTGTACTGTCAAATCAACAAGTGTTGACCGCAAGTAAAGCAGGCAAGCAGCATCGTATGCTTCGAATCTGGCGGGGGACCCCGACTAGGATCTGCAGCGAGGCGGCCCGGAGGCTGATGCTGCCCCCGTCGAATCCCACAAAAGCTCGCCGTGGTTTTCAGTCGAGGGACTGCGGTCTAGACAAAGAGCACGGGGCACAGGGCTTTGCGCATGCGCGCATACGCAGAAGGAGAAGCAGCCCACGAAGTGTATGCAGCAGGAGCATGCAGCAGGAGGACTAGAGTATAGGAGGGAAAAGCCAGGAAAGCCTGCAAAGCAGGTATGACGCGCATATGCAGAGAGGTGAGATGCCGTGGTTCATGATCTGGTAGGGGGAGAGGTGCAAGAACGTGCAGCAAAAGTAGGGGGAGGGCCCCTTGTAGGACAAAAACCTGCCACAGCCGCGTCGTTGGGAAAAGAGCTGGCTGAGCGAGCTGGTTGTGCATGAGCTACCAAGTACCTAGTAGAGGTGCCTGGCCTGCGGTTTTACAGCTGATGTAGTTTGTCTTTTTTTCTGGATAAGGGAGAAGTGTTGTGAACCGTGCCATTGCTTCTTTTGCAGAAGCTGAAAAGGCAGGGGTTGTTGGCGAAAGAGATGGAGCTCTTGAGAGAGACACAATCACCCGTCTACAAACGACGTTGAAGAGATCATCTTTTTCAAGCACGGTCTATTGGATTCTTGATTAAACATCAGAGCATCGAGATGGACGTCTCTCAGCTTCGACGCTTAAGTGTTACGCTTCGTCTACCATATGGGAAACAGGCTTGTAAGAGGAGCTGAGAGGATGAGGTATGATGAGACAAGTCGTAGTCAGGAAAGAAGCTTAACAGGTATAGCAGTCATTGGTCACACGGACTATAATTTGCTGACGAGACGTGCTTAGGAAATGGGTATCGCCCTTCATTCGAAATAACAAGACGAGACGAGACACTTTGCGAAATTTACATGATGGACTTCCATGAGCGAGGGTTTCCTCTCACGAAACAGGCGGCCTCTAAACGCTGCCGCGGAGATGATGCAATAGAAGACGGAAGGATGAGATGGGGATCGCCGGAAGCAAGCCAAAATCCTCGTGCCTTGCGTGCTCTAGTGAATTGATAGCGTGTCTATCTGGTTGATCCGTGTGACCATCATGGTGACGGCTCAGGCAACAAGGCTCGAGGATGAGCATTCAAAGTGGCACGAAGAACAAAGTATCTGCAGCACACTTCTACGGCTGGACCCTACATCCGGCTGCTGTCAAGCAAGCTGCCGCAAGAGCCAGCCAAGCGCGCCAGGCTGTGCTTTCAACGCGGGTAGCGGCTGGGGGGGTGTCTTCGGCGCCGGCAGGGATTTCATCTGGCGGGATCGAGCGCGTGAGATTTTGACATGATGGATGGACAAGACAGCGAGCAAAATGCACAGCGGCAGTGGCAAGACGGTTGGTGTAATGGTGGTGGTCTGTTCGCCCCCTTGACAGGAGGAAGCCGAAACACATGGAAGTGCTGCCCGACTTACACCGCGTGGTGGCGAAGCTCAAGAGCGGTGGCAGAGCGGGATGGCAAACGGGATGGCATGGCAAGGACAGAGTGCAGCGTGGCATAGCCCTGATGCTCTCGCCAACGCACCGGCAAGGCACCATGCCTGAGCCGGGCATAATATGCTCTGGCGACACGAAATCGAACGATACTCTCGCCCTCTGGCATGGGTGGCTCTGGTGAGATCTCTCTTTGGAGGAGCGCGGTGCAGCACGGTCATGTGACCTGGCGTCAAACAGGCGCTGTGGCTCACGACGCTTTAGCGGCACAAACGCGCTGAAACGCGGGTCCTGAGGCAGTTGGTGCTGGGCAGAGACGCCTAACGAATGCTAGGAGGCTCGGCGCGCACATTTTGTTTGCTCCCTGGAAAAACATGGAGTTGATGGAGGCCAGATCTCGCTGGGGAGCTGACACGATCGCCAACAGCGGCAGCCGCGGACAAGAGAATTGACCTGCAAACGACCTGCAAGCTGCACATCATCTTGCGATCGAGAACTGCCGGGAAAAGCAAAGAAGGAAAAAAAAAACGACATGTCACCGCCACCAAACGGACCCCTGTCCCAGATCACCGCCACGCGCCGCCAACGCCCCTGGGACCCTTGGAACTCCTCCGCAACAGGCCACCAGCGGGCAGAGACGCAGGCCGGCACGGGGTGGCGACAGTCCCGCAGCAGGAAGCTCAACAGCCAGTTCCGCGCCGGCGATGGCTCCGGCGGCGAGCGCCTGAGCGACACTTGGGGCGCCGGAGCCAGAGACAGCAGCGCAGACCAAGATGGCACGGGGAAGAGGAGCGTCATGGACATGCTGACTCGGCCGGGACTGATGCGCCAGACGCTGGAGTCGAGCCTGACCAAGGGCAGTGAAGCAGAAGACAAGGATCGGACGGTGGGCAGCAAGCCGTGCTTAACGGCCGGGGAAGCCCTAACGGAACAGCGAAGGCTGCAAGAGGAGGAAAAGGAAGCGGGAGCGCGAGACAGCTCTCGGAAGCTGTTTGATGGAGTCACCGTCTACGTCAACGGCAGCACATTCCCCTTGGTGTCCGACCATCGGCTGAAGCAGCTCATCACGGAAAACGGCGGCAACATGTCCTTGCGCCTGGGACGGCGAAGGGTCACGCATGTCATTGTCGGACGACCGAATGGCTCGCGACGGGGAGATGGCACCGGCGGTGGCCTTGCCGCCGGCAAGCTTGAACGGGAGATACGGAGGATTGGCGGCTGCGGCGTCAAGTTTGTTGGCGTGGAATGGTAGGCTTTGTCTTTTGACTTTTTGAGCTACGATCCGTTTGACTGCCGACTTGGGTCATCAATTTCATTCCTGATCACTGATGACTTATCGCTAATTTTGTATCAGGGTAATGGAAAGTCTCAAGGACGGAAAGAGGCTGCCTGAAGCTCGCTTCTCTCCTCTCAAGATTGCCGCAAAGGCACAAAACAGCGTTTATGGACTGTACTCTAAACAGGACACAATCTCTAATGAACCCACACCGTCACTTCCTCCTTCTGGGCAATCGTCACTATACGATTGACGACGGAATGGTTGCTCGTGAATTACACATGGAAGCACTACAGGGACTCAGTCAGATGGCAAACACTTTTTACTATAGATGAAGATGGCCGAGAGGAAGGGAGAAAACGATTTCTCACATTGCACTGATACGAATAATGATATATCACCTCTCACGAGCCACAAAGGGAATAAATAATATACACCAAAGCTCCCCCCGCGCTGCGCCATCGCCAAATCTTTCTTTGTTCCGCTTATCTCTCCTGAGCAAGGAAAAGGATGGCAGGGAGAGAGACAAGAAAAAAAAAAAAAAACTTGCTCAGTTCAAAGTTTGGAGTTCTCATCGTGCCACAATCTTTAGTCTATTTGCTGGAAGATGTAAGGAACAGTAGTGATCTAACTGGCTTTAGACTCTGTCCCGGGCTCACAGGATATTCTCTCTCTCCTTGCACAGACCCTTTTTGTGTATATCCTTTCGGGATTGTAACGGCCTTTGTGTAAGCCATCACACGAAAGCACTTGCTCACGTAAAACGGTCTGGTGCGGACGATTGATAGGAAAGGTCCTCCCCGTTTGGAGTACTTGGTTCTACACCTCGTGATCTTTCAGTCTAATGGATTACATTGCCTCGGGGGTTCGCCACTATCTAAACTAAATAGCCATATAGTATAACCATTCAGCGGCACCTATACCACAGATGGCAATATTGAATTATCTTGTGCCCTGCCTTTCCTGAAAAGAATCAATGCCGTGATAAAAAAAAACATTCATCTCACTTTCTCCTTTGCAATCACTTTTACCCCCTTATTCCCATGTGCCACCTCCGCCGTGTGTAACTATTTTTTTTCCCGCCCTCGACAACACCACAAACACCATGTAACAAACCAGAATAAATAAAATAAATAATAAGAAAAAAAAAGAAGAGATTCGAACAAAAAAAAAAAAAAAAGGGTGAATCTTGCGCAACAGCCACCACTTCACATCAAAAAAAAAAAAAAAAAAAATCGGGCTACACACACTCCCACAAGAAGAAAAAGAAAAAAAAGCCGTTTCTCTCATCCCCTACCGACTTCTTTACACACACGCACGCGCCATGACTGTGTCACACCGTGCTCCTCTTATCCCGGAGTGGCGATTTTTTTTTTTTTCTTTTGGGGTGAGGATATTGTAGGACAAACGAACGTTGCAAGCTTGTTTCGAGTTTTTTTTTTTTGGGGGGGGGAGGGAAATACGAGAAGGAGGAGGAGGGGGATACGGCCAGGTATGCTGCGGTGGTACTGGACGAATTGAGTGAATTGAATGACAGTGAATGGGCACAGTGTTGGATTAATCTTGTTAAAGGGAAATATCGAGATGGGCTATGGAGTTGCAAGTTTTATGTCATGGTTGAGATGGAGATGGGAGGACGGGGTCCTTCAGGGGCCTGTCGCTGCAAGATGGGACGTCGAGATGGTGGGAGAAAAGGCTACAGCTTCAGTAGTGTTATCAAATGGATTCCCTTATCACATTTCTAGTAATACCCATGATATGGTGAGATAGGAGTAGTATGCGGAACGTGGCTTACATGGCTATTTCATTACAGTAGCCCTAAGCTGCATACTTGCTAAATATCCTAGACCGATAGATTCGCCAATCCTATATCCTAAAAGACCAAGCGCTCATATTCCAAAAAAATCCAACTCGCGTCCATCATACCTTACAGCTTAGCCTTGATTCCATGCTCTTCAATGGCGGCATGCTTGCCACCCACCTCCTCAAAGTACTCCTTTACCTTGGCCCTAGCCACATCCACAACTGATGCGTCCTCCACAGTGCTTGGAACCGCAACCTCCTTCTCATATTCCCCCTTGGTCGCATTCTCTACTAGTTCTCTCAATACACGTCTGAGGGTCTTACCAGAGCGTGTTTTGGGAATCATGCCCTTGCCTTGTATGATACCGCCAAGTGAGGCAATGGCACCCACCTGCTTTCTCACAAGGGCCTGGATTTCTGAAGATGTCTTTTCGTCAGGGATAGCGGTAGTTGGATGTGACGGAGTCGAGAGAGTGATGAAGGCAAAAGGTAATTGGCCCTTGAGGGCATCAGGAACGCCTACGACGCAGGCTTCAGCAACCAGGGGGTGCGAAGTAATGGCTTGCTCAATGCCACCTAAAGAGAAGCATAGGGTTAATGAAATGGTTTCGTAGAAATAGTAAAAGCACAAGATAATACTCACCACTTGATAGTCGATGTGCGCTGACATTCAGCACATCATCGTTCCTGCTCATGACGTGGATGTAGCCCTCTCCATCAATCCAGCCTGAATCTCCCGTGTCTAGCCACTTGCCTTGGAATCTCTTCAGATATCCACCGTAAAATCTCTCCTCATCGTCCCATAGAGTGCGGAATCCAGTCGGTGCTAGCGGCATTCCAAGCACGATATTCCCCATGTTGCCGCTCTCGACTGGACGACCCTCGTCATCCACAATGCGGATATCAAAGCCAGGCATGGCCTTGCCGCAACTACCAGGTTTCAAGTGAGGCGGCTCGTGGTCACGAACTTTGGTCTTGCGGTCCTTGCCCGCATGAGGGACCAGGGCGCGGCCTGTCATGGGAGAACCAGCCTCGGTGCTCCACCAATTGTCAACAACATGTGCATTTGGCGCCGCGAACTTGTCAAGAAGTTCTTGGTACATGGATATGAGGCTTGGCTCTGATCGCTCCCCGGCCAAGAAAAGGCCCTTGAGCGAGCGGAGGCCACCCCTTTTGCCGGTCTCGGCCAGAAGCTTGTTCTCTGGATCGTCACGCTTGATAGCACGCAGCGCTGTTGGTGCAGTAAACATGGTGTTGACCTTGTATTCCTCGATAATGCGCCAGAAAGCAGAGGCATCTGGCGTCCCAACCGGCTTGCCCTCGTATATGACGGTAGCGGCTCCGGCCAGTAGCGGTGCGTATATGATATATGAGTGCCCAACGACCCAACCAATATCCGATGCGGTGAAGACAACGTCGCCGGGTCCATGGATATTGAAAAGGTAGCTGATTGAGAGATGCAAACCAACCGCATGGCCTCCAGCATCTCGCAACACCCCCTTGGGCGCACCAGTTGTGCCAGACGTATGGATGATGTACACCGGATCGGCACTGTTGACGGGGACACAATCGGCCTTGATGCCTCTCTTTTGCGCCCCAGACACAACTGTCTGCCATGTCGCCTGGCCTGCGCTGCGGTCTGTTGGCCCCCACCTAACCTGATCTCGTTGCCAAACCAACGTCCGGCGTGGTTGGTGCGCAGCCAGCTGGTAGGCCTCCTCAACAAGGGGGCGGTATGGGATAGGGGGCTTGTTGCCGTCAATGCCACATGATGCTGTCAGGAGGACGACGGGCTTGCATGCATCAATGCGCTGGGCAAGGGCATTGGGGGCAAAGCCACCAAAGACGATGGAGTGGATGGCGCCCAGGCGGCTCACGGCGAGGATGCCAATGATGGCAGCGGGAATCATGGGCACTTTTTATTCATTGTTAGCAACGCATCTTGAAGTGTTTTATGAGTGCTTGAGCAGTGCACTTACTGTAGAGCATGACCACATCGCCCTTGCGAACGCCATCTTCTCTCAGCGCTCCCGCGAGCACCTCAACCTCACTAAGCAGCTGGCGGTATGTGTATTTCTCCTTTGTCTTGGAGACGGGGCTGTCGAAGTAGATGGCAACGTGATCGCCGTGGCCGGCCTCGACATGCCGATCCACGCAGTTGTAGCACGTCGAGATTTCGCCATCTGGAAACCACTCCCAGCTGTCGTGCTCAATGCCGCTCTTCAGCTTCTTGGACGTGAGCTTTAACGTTGAGCTGGGCTTCTTGTGCCAGTAGAGATGCTCTGCTTGGTGCGCCCAGAATTCTTCGGGATTCTCCAGACTGTGCCGCAGGATATCATCCTGGATATGGCCGCCTTTGACTGACATGGCGGAGAAGGAAGATGTAGGTAGGAGTCTAAGTGTGTGTCGATATGCTGAGGAATTGGGGAGCGGGCGAGTGATGCCAATGAGATACGTGAGACGCCGTGTAGGTGTAATAGGGAAAAAAACAGGAAACAGGAAATGAAATGAGCTTCTAGCTGCGGTCATAAATTGTTTCGGTTGGGTCTGAGCTTCTCAGCGTCTGATATAAGTACACGAAGCGGCGTGCTATCCTCGGTTATACAGCGTTCTGAGCCTCCTGATGACTAAAGCCGCGAAGCGAGATGCAGCAGAGCTACAAGGTGCACATAACAGAAGAAAAAAAAAAGGAACCATGACGCGTGTGGAAGTGGAAGGGGCGATGTCTGCGGCGAGGCTCGCGGGCGGAAGCTGCGGTGGAGCAGCAGCTCTTTCCCCGGCATAGGCCACGGCGCTCCTTCCATCTTCTTAGCCAAGGTAGCATTACTCGTAGCGGACGGAAGAGCTGGGGCCCCGGATTCGCCCCCCCGCTCTTTCTGTCTCTGCCCTCTTGCTCTCTGCAATTGTCTGTTCCTTTCCTCCGAGCATTTGCTTTGCCGAAATCTCCCCGCAAAAGCCTATTCGACTACTGCGTTACCCCAGGTTTTCGATTGACTAATGAAGTTTATTTGATTTGATTTGCACGTTGTTGGAAGAAAGCCCGGCGTTTTTTGGCGCTATATTTGCCCATGCTGCATTGCGTTAATGGCAGTACCCGTTCAGCGTCTTTATTCGGCAGAGCTCGGCAATGCCTGTCGTTGCACGACTCATTTCAAAGTTAATTTGACAACACAATGCTAGTCAACACAGAGAGAATCACGAATCAAAGCGAGGGTAATGAAAGCAAAGATGGAAAGATGAAAGATGCCAAAGAAAATTGAAAACCCCCTCAATCCATGGCCAGGCAGGCCATGGACGACAGTCGAAGACGCAAGGCCAACGGTAGTTCACTCACCCTATAGACTTACACAGCAAGGCAAAGCAGACAGCATTGTACGGGAAGTTCCGTGTAGTGGCAACCCCACGCCGGGAGTTATGATCTACAGCTATCGCTATCCAAAGGAGTCGATAGAAGCTACAGTGTTTTACTCATCGCAGGCAGGTAGTTTTATAGTGTGACTGGTAGTTCTCCCACAGTAGCTCAGTCGCATACATCGCGACCGTTCCCAATGCCAAACGCCAACTAAATTCTGGCGCCTTCAGGTTTCCTTCAACCAGCTGAATTGACCTTCAAATAAACCCCCCCCCCCCCCAAAATTACAGCAAGCCAAAAGAGACAAAATGCTCAGCTAAATGCTCATCGTCAAATCTACCAGTATTACTCTGGCAAGCCGCAGCCAATAGCTCAAAAAACCCCGGCGTAAACAGGGACGGTTAAACCACTTGGTATGGAACGGCCCGAAGCCACTTGGTCCTCGACGGGTTTCCTTCTATAGCTCACTTTATGACTATTTCACCGCCCATTGAAAGACAAAGATACCAAATGAACGATGGCAATTTACAAGGATGTATAACATTTACTTACTTGTGGGTGGGCAGAATTATCGTCCAAGACAAGAATCACGGCAATGTCTCAGACATACAAGTCTCACCACATCAAACAAGTGAAAAATGGGAAAAGAAGAGACGGACACAGAAAGTATGCCGAGCCAAAACTGCCCTCTTAGTAAATGCTATTCCTGCTTGCCAGCTATCAAAAACAATAGCCAAAGCTCACAGACACTTATGTATATAAATATTGACAAGAGGCCATAAACACGCCCAGCCAGTATGTAAAAAAGGGCCTCGTGCGATCCGGAGTACCATCGCAGCAAGGAACGAAGTTGAAAAAGAATCTGACAAAAGAAATGGAATCGATAATGTTTTCCGAGGCAGGAAAAAAAAGGCGTCTTTTTCTTTCTTAGATGTTTTGTCTCAAAGTAGGGTGAAAATGCGAAGAGGTCAGGGCAAACCCATCCTAATTTGCTGTAGAAGAAAAAAATTGACACATTATATTCCGGCCCCGAGAAACGACCGCACACAGTTGATTGTAGCGCATCTTCTCGTGGGGGCGATCAAAAAAATCGAGTTCCCTTGAACACCGAGCTTGCATTTGTCCCGTATAACCCAAGAGAACCCTTCTCTATACATCCCAAAAAAAGACCCAATCACTTCCCATCCGTGAACGTAAACCAAACAAGTAAATACCCCAACACTTTTGTTCCCTCCCTTTATATCAAAATCATGAACGGAGGCCGCACCCACGACTTCCAAGAATCATTGAACCGAGAAATCGTAGACGGTATATTGGCGAGGTGTGTCGAAATTTACAAGATTTACAGGACGAAAGCGGCCAGACCGACGATACCGGCCAGGCCGGCTCCGGAGAGGACGGCCTTGCTGGCAGCGCCGGTGGGAATGGCGGGAGGAGCGGTGGGGACACCGGCACCGGTGCCAGCAGGACCAGTGGGAGCAGCGTTGCCACCGGCAGGAGGAGCCTGGGTGGGGGAGCTGATGGTGCTGTTGGTGAAGGCAGGGGGGACGCTGCCACCGTTGCCGCCAGTGGGAACAGCACCGGTAGGAGCAGCAGCACCGCTATGGGACTCATGTTAGTGGCTGGCTTCGTTTTACGTGGAAGATGCTGATGTGGCTTACCAGGTGTTGCAGAGAACGCTGCTGGTGGTGGTGACCGGGCGGGTGATGGTGCAAGGGCAGTCGGTGATGGTCAGAGTGGTGGGCTGGAGCATCTTGTTAGCCGCGGTTTCTTTGGCGAGTTGAGCCGATTCAGGTCGTAAATACCTCAGTGACGGTGTAGGTCTTGCTGCCGTGGGTGATCTGGGTAGCGAAGGGGCAGAAGGTGGTGTAGGTGTCGACGACCTCGGTCACGACGGTGACGTTGCTAGGAGGAACGTAGACGGCAGAGACGCCGACGGCGGCGAGAGCGACAGCAGCGGTGAACTTCATTTTGTCGGTGATTAGGAATTAAACTCGAAGAGCTTGATTAAGATTATTTGCTGAGGTTGTTGGTTAAAGAATGAAATTGACAAAATGTCAAGGTGTATTTGCAGGTGCTTAGCGAGCGTGAGTGTGTGGTGAGGAAAGGGAAAAGAGATCAAGACCCAGATGGGCGTCTGGAGGCATCGAGCTTTATAACCAAACTGCGGCGCGGGCAGACATTGTGGACAGGGGCATGGACAAGAAAGAGAGAAAAAAAACCCGCCAGGGGAAGCTGCCAGGGGTGCACCTTGGAGGGAGGAGAGCACAAGCAGCGAGTGGGCCGCGATGGGGACGGTGGATGAGGCCAGCTGCAGAGGCAAGACAGACATCCTTGGGGATGCATCACGAGCGTGGATGCGGCCATGCAGGGGCTGGGAGCCACAGGATGGAGGCCCTAGCAACGCTAGCTCCAGCGGCGGAAAGCCACACAATCAAAAAGGGTCGCATGGTGGCGCCTCTTTGCTTGCCGTGGTTATTTTAATCTGTCGAATGAGCGGGCGCCAACGACGTGATGCGAAAATGAGATGCTGTATCCGTACGGCAAGGGAAGACACAACATTGAACGTGCAATTAGAGAGGAGATGCGGCCATGTGATGGAAATGCATACAGTACATGGACAGTAGGTATCAACTCGTGCCTGGCCAACCAACAGAGTCTATGCTGTTGTTTTGTTTTGTTTTGTTTTGTTTTGTCTTGGTCCACTTCTCGAGTCCTCTCCGCAACAGCAGAGGGCATGTCTTGGATGCTTGAGTAGCCCGTATTGCATCCATCATGCTGCTTATCGGCCTGTTGGATATGTACCTTTAGAGATTACCAGTACCCAACCATTATCCCGCATCACCGATACGAGCCGCCATACTTGCAGATAACTTCGTATCTGGTACTGCTCCTACGACGCGCTGGGCATCAATCAAGTTTTCCACTGATTGGCCGTTTTCGGCATCTGTATACATGCTTCTATAATTGTGTTCTTTCTCGTATAATATGCGGAGCCGGGCACGTTTCGCGACCTCTTCTATGCCAAACAACACCGTCTCCATACAAAAACCAAGCAAACCAGCCTCTGGTGATCCGGTTCCAAGCCGGCCCCCTTTACTCTAGCACTACTAAGCGTCCACGTTCCCACCTGCTATTATCGTCGTCTCTCGCCGCCGATCATGGGACGAAATCGATGAATCACAAACGGGGACTGGATTTAAATTTGCTGCTGCAACTTTCCAGATATTGCTGCCAACTATTGCCCTCTAGCCCAGCTGCTAGCGCCGTTCCTGATTTTTTTCATCTTCTTTCCCCTTGGGCTTTTTCCCTGTTTTGGCCGCGTTGGCCCCACCCACTCATCGGATCAGCCTTTCTTAGTGGCTCTGGGTGCGCTGGCGCTAATGCAGGAACCAGAACGTTTTTGTCACTTTTCCCACGCCTCGGCGACAAGCAAGCTGGCAATCGGGTTCGCTGGCACCTTCCTGACTGTGCGAGCGATATTAGATGAGATTGCTGGAATTTCCATTTACGATTAGCATCCATCACTGTGCCATGCTATGTAGGTACCCGGCCAGCCAATTAATTTTCTCTCCCGCTTTGTGGGATTCAATGCCCATTCCCTTCATCGCAATGCTTGAAAGCGTCAAGTCGTATCCCAATACAGCAAGCAGCAGCAGCAGTGGCGCCAGAAGCCTCCAGATGGAGAAGGAACAAAAAGGAGATGTGCATACAAGGATGTGCATCTCCCGCGCGCCCACGTTGCTGGATGCTTGCCTGATCCCAGTTCCAATAATACAGCCAACTGTACCAAGTACTGTAGCGACTACTTGTACAGGCAATATCAATTGTACAGTAGCAATTCTACCGCAACCATCAATTCATCACAACACAACCCGGACCTGGAAATTTCCACTGTCAATGCAAGCCGCATTGATATTGCGAGGGGCTTTTGTTTATGTGGAAACGAACCGTCTTTCCGTTTGTCTCGTCTCCAAGGTAAGTCACGTGGTCCGTCTCAGACCTTGGAAGCGACGAGTCTCAACTTGGACGGGGAGCAAACCCGGGCACCGCTTTTCCCTGCGCAAAAACAACCCACTGCCTTTCAACCTGCGACTCTGGCTGCATGGGGGCCAACTTTCCAAGCAGCCAGCAATCGGCCATGGCAGCCTCGTACTGTGCACGTCGCCACAGTTGGACTTCTCACGAGCCCTTTAGCAGCTGTAGTGGCCGGTAGCACTGCCGCTAGGAGACATCTATGATGCCCTGTGCTCCGTCGGTGAGCGACGGCCACTGCAAAGCCAGCGAACCATTTCACTGAAGCGCCCTGCCTGTCAGTGCTGCCCACCCCGAGTGACCCTCTGCTAATTTCCTGTTTACCCACTATGCGCCCGGGGTTGCTCGGCCATTGTTGGGTCCTCCAGCTTCTTATCGGCCATGGCTAGGTCGCCACCCACTAGACTGTTCGCTTGCGCAGCGGAATAGGGGAGAGACATGCTCGTCCATGCGTGTCTTATGCGCGCAGGCAAGGGACGGAGCAGCTCGTCGCAGTATTGAACTGTGCTGTGCTCGTATGAGCAGCGGTATTACGCGTCTCTCTCTTCTCACCGTCTCTTTGACGGTTCAAGCTGCGCGTTGCAAAGTCGCCGACCGCCCGACCGTTTCCGCAGCCCGCTGGCTTCTTGCAGCAACGATCACCGGCGCCACATCTGACCTGCAGCGCCCCTGATGCATCTCGATAGAAGGAGAGATCCTGATCGACCGCTCTTTTCCCTACTTCTTCTCTGCCCTATGCTTTGGCTTTCAACTCTGTTTCGGACATGGTTTGCTGCTGGCATCAGCATTTACTGGACGGCGATCACCGACGCTTCCGAGTGAAGGATCTTCAACCTGCTAACTTTAGTTGCCATTTCTATAATTGTATACGAGCGCCGACTCCGTCAAGATACGAAGCATTATGAAGCAAGTTTTTTTTTTCTCTTCAATCAGATTACATGTGACAGCAACACTCCTTGCTTGATTCCAAGTTTCGAGGGCTTGCCTTTATTGGGTCCTTGATTCGAGTTTCAATCAACTCCATGAAGAAGCAAAGAGCATATGCCTGCCTGCCTGGTATCAATACGAGCATCCGTATAAACTCTTACCCGCAGCAACTGAATCCCCTCCCCCGTACAAAAACTGGAGTACGGTAAAACTATACTGTAGATAATATTGGCAATTAATATGGTTAATTGTCAACCGACACCGTATAATGCGGCCGAGTGGGCGGGAAGCCGGGCGCTCTCAAAAGCTTGACTCTCAACATTGAAATCAACCATGCTCGGCAAGTCGGCTCACCCGCTGTAATACGCCCTACAGCTTCTGCGGCCACTACTGGGTGCCCCTGCATTGGATTCGCCCGTCTGAACCCACCACCTTCCAATAGCCTTCCAGAGTTTGATTAAAGCTTCAATCGTAGGAACATGCTGGACGGCCGCGAAACGCGTTGCTGGGATTCGCGTTTCCATGGTTGCATTTGGTTAATTTCCCCCATCTCCCCGAACTGGCCGACCTCGCAAGTGCTGCCATGGCACGCGATAGAAGCTGTCGCCTTTTCTGTTATCGGGAGACGGCCACTGTGATGGGCCATTCATGTTAACGCGGAGCTAAAAGCTTGGCTTTTCCGATAAGATGTCGATGTCCGCGCTTAGCAGCGTGGCTGTGCGAGCACTTGATATGGGGGAACTTTTACTGGTGCTAGCAGTACGCGAAGGTCGATAGTAGCTGCAGTCAATCTATCTGGTTCGGCTCGACTCTTATCAAGCTTGCTACGAGTAATGATGGGCTGCATGGATTCATGCTCTCGTCCATCGCCAGAGCAGTGCACCGAGGGCTCGATGGCCAACCGGGCAGCTTCCGATCCGACGGCTGCGGCATCAGCTGGCTAAATCCCTCAGCTACAAAAATCCCGTACGTGCGTACAGTACAAGTGGCTCGTCGCATTGTTACTCTCCGATCAATGTCTCGGACTGCGGGAGGGCAAACGCTGGGACGTGTTGTACTCATAACAAACAGTAGCAGTTGGTTGTTGTTTTCTTCTGGAGTCGCAACGATTGTAACCTAATTGGCTCACTGAGAGATACGCGTATGGGATTTCTATGGGGGCTGGCCATTTGTGTTTCTCACAGATCAAAACATATGTTTGTATGACGAGATTATCATGCGAGTTTCATTTGATGTCCAAGGCCAGTTCCGTAATGAATCATAACACTATTTCCTTGTAGTTTTCGAGTCAGATGAGGATCCAAGTAAACAAATAAAGGTTTGCGACAACCCGAGATGAAAAGGACCGGCCTTATGTAGGGCGCGGATGACTGGTTTAACCTTGTCAACTCGGCTCTCTTGTCAGCTCATGATTTGTGCCAATATTGAATTGACTCATTGGTTCAAGAGTTGACACCATGTTTACTTGTTTATTTTGTTTCGCAGCACATGCTCCCTTCAAAGTCCTAGCATGATGCGCAGTCGTCGCAAGTTGCTGCACTGCTGCTACTAAGCATCGGCGATTGTGTCGGCGATTGCATCTTGGGTTCAAATCATTTACTAGGTAGCAGTCTTTGATCCGGATTGTTCTACAGCTTTCTCCCACGGATACGGAATCCTTATAGTGGTGCGTACGGAATCCATGCAGGTACAGCGTTCCGGTCGCCACTCAATAGCTTCAACGCATCAATTTCACCTCGGTATAGCAAAAAAAAAAAAAAAAAAAAAAAGCATCATGGAGCAAGCAAAAAATCTGCTAAAGCGGGACAGGACACTCCCTTGTAGGCCTTTTTCCGTTCCGCTCTACAGGCAAAATATGGAGTTATTATCGAGTAGCTGACTCAGCTGTGCCAAATAGTTGAGCTGTTGAACTCCGAGATAGAATGCTCTAGAGAAATAGTTTAGATGCACGCACGGAGTAGATGGTATCTGGAGTCGGAATTCGGACTCGATAAATGTTCTGAATATCTCTGATTATACAACTCCAGGCCTCTTAAAAAAAGGACTCGGTTGTAGAATTGTATGCCTACAATGGCCACACTTCCCGAGGCATAGCACGAATACTCCATACAAAGGCCCGGCATTCGGTACAATTGCCCGCATAGGTCCGCAAAGAGGAGCGCATCGGGTTTTATCCTACTCGTTCTCCTCACTAAAAATTAGGGGGCATTACTAATGGCTGGGGTTAGCGAACCGTATACCTCATGCAAGTGGGCTTGTGACGCAAGATTTTTATAAAATGGTTGAAGAATAGGGAATAGTATATATATATATGTGTGGCTGCGGATTGTTTGAGGGGTAACGATCTGTATCAAAGATTCAGTTTCGATCAGCGAATAGGAAACTTATATTCTGTTATAAGAAATTAGTGCAAAAATGGCCGCTACAATGAGAGCAGTTGGTATGAGTCTCTCAACTAAGCACTATGACGTCTATAACTGCTATAGCAACATACATTGACTAACACACTCATAGACATCAAGGACGGAAAAGGTCCCCGGGAAGCTCTCTTCATCAACGATGCCACTCCCAAGCCCGTCCCCGCTGCGAGACAGGCCATCGTCAAGGTCCATGCCTTTGGCATCAACCGCATGGACATTATCCAGCGCAACGGCTTCTACCCCGTGCCCCCTCAGGCCCCCAAGACTCTCGGCGTAGAGTTCAGCGGCATCATCGAGTCCTTTGGTTCCGACGACCACAACGGCTTCAAAGTCGGCGACGAGGTCTTTGGCCTGGCCTACGGAGGCGCCTATGCCGAGTACATCGCCGTCAGCACAAAGATGCTGCTGCACAAGCCAAAGGGCCTGACGCACGAGCAGTGCGCTGGCGTTCCCGAGGCATGGATCACGGCGACCCAGGCGCTGCACTTGGTGCTTGGATTTGTCAAGGGCAAGAGCATCCTCTGGCACGCCGGAGCGTCTGGCGTTTCGGTTGCGGGCATCCAGCTCGCAAAGGCCGCCGGCGCGTCTGAGATCTATGCCACTGCAGGAAGCCAAGAGAAGATTGACTTCATCACCTCTGAGCTCGGCGCTACCGCGGCATTCAACTACAAGACCCAGGACTGGGTTAGCGAGATCAAGGCCAAGACGGGCGGCAAGGGCGTTGACTACATTGTCGACTTCATTGGCGGAGATTATTTCCAGAAGAACCTCAACGTGGCTGCCATGGACGGCAGCATACTCCTCCTGGGCACTATGAGCGGAGGCAAGGCCCCTGATGCGGATATTGGCGTCATCTTATACAAGCGCCTTCGTGTTTTGGGCAGCACCCTGCGAAGCCGTGACGAAGAGTACCAGGGCAAGCTGAGAGACAGGCTGGAGGCGTACATTCCCGACTTCGAATCACATAAGCTAAAGATCTTTATTGACTCGGTGCTGCCTTGGGACAAGATCCAAGAGGCACATGAGCACATGGAAAATGCTAAAAACTCGGGCAAGATTATCTGCACGATAGCATAAGCATGGAAATTTAGGTGTATTATTACCTCTGCTGCGTCATAAAATACTTATAGTATGCTGAATGAAAAAAAAAACATAGGAAAAGAGGACGAAATCACAACATGTGCAATGCTAACAATGGAAAGTTGTGATATCAATGGTCTTTCAACCATCTCAGCATTTGCTCGTATGCCGTGACCTGGGCGTCCATAATATTTGATTCCTGATACTGGCCCGCAACCGCGAATCCTATTCCTGTTCAGCTGACATATTCCTCATTAATGTAGGGGCTCAACTCACCATGCGGTACACCAGGATACACTTGAACCTCGTGCTCTACGTTATCCTGCGTCATCAGGTCTTCACCTACCTTTCGGACCTCATCGGTGAACAAGGCGTCGTTCTCGACACACACCAAACTTAACGGTGCTTGAAGGTTTTTGAAGTCGTCTGGAGTCACCGATGCAGCATGCGCCAAGGCTCCCGCTTTGATAAAAGGCCCAGCTTTCATCATCCCAGATTCCTCGTCATTACCGCCCTCTTGCGTTCCCTTGGCGAGAAGAAGGACATAACGGCCTCCAACACAGTATCCTACGGCATATATGCCCTCGCCATGCTTAATAGCATCAGAATATTCTTCGTGTGCCGCTTCAATCACCTTGTGTAATATCGGCATGATTTTGGCCTCAGTCACTCTCGCCAGCCACATGTCGATCAAGAACGATTTTGCAATCTCCACGGCCTTTAGCTTCACTTGCTCCAGGAGGGACACCGAATTATCAGCAACGTAAGCCTCTTTCCCCCCTGGGGCTGTTTCACCACCAAACATGTCCGGCATGAGTACGAGAAAGCCTTCGGCGGCATACTTGTCGGCCTGGATCTGATTATTGACGGACTTGATGCCCGTTCCGCCAGTGAGAAAGAGAAGAAGGCGGGTGGGCGCATGAGGATAGTCGGCTGGTTTTGAAATATACACCTGAGAGCAGCAAGGAATTAGATGCTTGAATTTCTATAGGAAGCCTCATCTCGGCTTAAACATACGTCGATGTCATTCAGCTTGATGATTTCACCGGTTGGTCCTTGGCCAGCGGCTGTGCTGTGTCAGAGGTAAAGACGGCTTCAGATTGCAAATGAGATTCACACATACGAGCAGGCCTGTCAGTTACACAGTGCTCGTGGTCGCCCATAATCGGGCTTGACTGCGTCGGCGAATCGACCGAGGAGTCCTCTTGCGCATCGCTCTCTGGCGCCTTTGTCGCAAGGTCAAGCTCCGTCATGGCTGCTGGCTGGTGTATGAGTGCCTGGTATGATGGGGGCGTAGACAATAGATCGCCTAAATATTGGATAGATACAGCAAGAGTCAAGAGTACGATACTGAGCGATGATGATGCTATCTTGAAGACTGCTGCTGACGTGTTGTTTGTCTTGGATAGAAGCTATGGGTCTGACGAGGCTTTGCGGCGGCTAGGTTGGAACGTCATACCTCGTGCGGTTTCATGTAGCAACAAGGGAGTGGCTTGGCTCAGTGCTTGGCTATAGTGTGGTGGCCCGTGAAAGAATAAGTAACTAAAATTTGCATAAATAAACCGTGACTACTTCGACTTTGATAGCTTGATATCAACGGCAAGTACGAAAGGCAGAACACTGCCGTTTCTATCCATCTTTCATTTTATTCTGGCTGCATGAATTCTCAGTGAGCACTCTTGTTTTTCACATGTGGGCAAGGCATCAAACAGTCATAATATCACAACACAGGCCGGATAAACTAGATGCAGCTCTATTTACATCAGTTAATTCATAATCCATAGAATTAAAATATGTCTGCATGATTAGAAAATATTCAACACCTTGAATTGTTCCATCCAAATTCTCATGAGACACTTCCGCAACCAGCCCGAACAAAGTGGCAACCCCGCCTGCCCCGCCTCACGTGACCTCTCAACGCGTGGAAGAGACAAGCTGAAGCCTGCCCCGCCTCACGTAATCGCTCCAAGGCAACGCGTAAAGAGAATCGCGTCGCGGGTCTGCCAGAGCATTCGAGCAAAGTGCACGATTCTCGGAGTCGCAGCTTAACCTGCCAAATCAAAAAAAGCCGGCCAAAGATCATCATCACAGCACACCATGGACGCCGAATCAGCATTATCACGGGGCTGCATCAAGTAGGTTGACTTGTCGAGTTTGCCCTTTTTGTATTCCACTCTCGACTGACCCAGCTGCAGTGCCATCTTTAACGATCCCGACCAGGCGGCGAAGCTCTTTCCCGTCCCGGTGATGCAATGCCTACAGATCAAGCAGATGGGGCCCTCGGGCCAAGGCGGCGACAGATGGCGACTTGTCATGAGCGATGGCAATAATTACGTCCAGACCATGCTGGCTACCGCAGCCAACCACATCATTCACGATGGCAAGCTTGAGAGGGGTTGCATAGCTCGGGTGAAGAAGTACCAACCGAATATCTTGAAGGGAAAGCAGTAAGATGATACCAGATGAAGAATCCCGTGTGTTTGTTTCTGACAAAATGGATAGCATCCTGATTATTCTGGAGATTGAAGTTATCGAGTCTCTTGGACTGCACGATAAGATTGGTAACCCGGTGGTCCACGAACCCAAAGCCGCTGATGCCACGATCGATGGAAACGACTTCTACGGCGCCAAAAAGGAGGAAATGGATACCAAGCCTCAGATGCAGCAGCACCAGCCGGCGCCGTCACGGTCAGCCACTCATGCTGGTGCTAACATTTACCCCATCGAGGCTCTTTCGCCCTTCTCCCACAAATGGACAATCAAGGCCCGTGTAACATTCAAATCAGATATCAAGACATGGCATAAGCCAACGGGCGAGGGAAAGCTCTTCAGCGTCAACCTTCTTGATGAGAGTGGCGAGATCAAGGCTACTGGCTTCAACGACCAGTGTGACGCATTCTATGACCTCCTTCAAGAGGGCTCTGTCTACTACATCTCTACCCCCTGTCGAGTTGCGCTGGCGAAGAAGCAGTTCAGCAATCTGTCAAACGACTACGAGCTCACCTTTGAGCGAGAGACTGTCATCGAAAAGGCAGAAGATCAGACCAACGTGCCCCAGCTAAGGTTCAACTTTTGCTCTATCCAAGAGCTACAGAGCGTGGAAAAGGACAGCACCGTTGATGTGATTGGTGTGTTGAAGGAGGTTGCTGAAGTCAGCGAAATCACATCAAAGAAGGACGGACGGCCCTTCCAGAAACGTGAATTGACCTTGGTGGATGATACGGGCTACTCTGTGCGTGTCACCATTTGGGGCAAGACAGCAAACGGCTTTGACGCCAACCCAGAGTCAGTGGTCGCTTTCAAGGGCACCAAGGTATCAGACTTTGGTGGCAAGAGCCTGAGTCTCCTCTCGTCAGGAACCATGACCGTCAACCCTGATATCCCCGACGCCTATCGCCTCAAGGGCTGGTACGATTCGGCTGGTCGAACTGATACTTTTGCTACTCACCAGAATCTTGCTGGTGTAGCTGGCGCAACAGGCCGAAAGGACGATATCAAGACAATTTCCCAGGTCAAAGACGAGAACCTTGGCGTAGACGACCAGGCATACTATACAATCAAGGCTACCATTGTATTTGTGAAGCAGGACAGTTTCTGCTATCCTGCTTGCTCCACGCAGGGGTGCAATAAAAAGGTCACAAGTATGCCCGATGGCACATGGCACTGCGAAAAGTGCAATGTGTCACACGACAGGCCTGACTATCGCTACATCTTGAACCTCAACGTGGCTGACCACACGAGTCACCAGTGGCTTAGCTGTTTCGATGACACCGGCAGGATAATAGTGGGCATGTCTGCCAACGAACTGATGGAACTCAAAGAGAATGACGATGCCAAATTTATGGCGGCTTTCGAGGCAGTAAACTGCAAGAAGCTGACTTTCAGGTGCAGAGCCAAGCTAGACCACTTTGGCGATACTCAAAGGTGGGTTTCCGATCCGTTTTAAAACCATGCTTTTGTTTTTCTGGATGCGATGAACTGACGAATCTATAGGGTGCGATACCAAGTGCTGAGCGCGGCACTGATGGATTATAAGACAGAGGGCGACAAGCTAGTAGAGTTGATCAAGCAGTTCAACATTTAATCGCTCAACATGTATAGTGAAGGGTTAAGGATGAGATCAAAACTGGAAAAGGCACTCAACTAATGTGGCGGGTTTGCTTGATGCAATTACTGTAGGCCGCTATGTTGTAAGGAATATACAGAAGATATCACAATGATGTACTAAAAAAAAAAAAGTTGCTCTAGCTTGTGCAAATCGGCTTGAACAGCAGCTTCTGGGATAGATATAAATACGATACTACTAGTATCCTTCATTTGTGGTAGAGAGCATACTTGTATGAGTGACTTATACTCTGTAGTGTGCCATGCGCCGCTGCTTGTCGAAATTTGGCAGCCCATATGGGCCATGCCCCCCCTACACGACCCCAGAAAGGAAGCTGGGGACTATGCGCATTGCGTACAGGCAGCTGATGGGAGCACTACGTCCGGACGGATTGCAGCATGTATTTACTCGGGCGGTACTAGCTCGATGGGAGTTTGGCAGAGTGTATGTCATTGGGAAGCTAGAGCGGCGTAGCCCCAGCCACCAGCTTTTTTTGGGACACCTGGTGGCGTTGTATCACCCGGTAGGAATATGCTGTCTACTTGGTATTCTTCGTATCAAGTACACCTCGCTTAATGGTGATTATCGGAAGGATTTCTAGAATGGGAGCGGGAATGCCATATATACGAGAGACAGGGCCTACTTTTGGCCTCTGTTGCTGATTTGATACCTTTGTAAAGCATGGTAATTGTAATTGCGGAAGAGAAATACACCTAGGCGCGACTGACGGGAACCATTTTCGGTTACACAATCATGCTAGGCTCGCGCCGATGCGGATAGGATGGTTGAAATGGTGCTCGATAGCGTGGTGGTGACACTTGGTATTGGACGGGACCTAGACGGTATGAGCAACTATTGAGTTAAAATGCCTCTCTTTGACTGCTATATGAGCACATGACGCGAGGAAAAGAATGGAAAACTAGTAAAGCTTTGTTTTAGAGCAAGGCGGGCTATATCGAGAAGGAAAGAAAAATGATGATGTGAGTTTTTGCATTTACCAAGGTGCAGCAATATGAAACGCTACCCGGCAGGTGATCATCAGCAGCAGGTGGTTTAAATGTATGCGAAACACGATGGATGGAAACGAGGCTGCGAGTTGGAGGGAATTTCCAATAGTAAGCTTCAAGTGGCATAACAGAGCAATAATCCAGTCTTTTCCTTCTTTCACGTTTGGTTGTTGAAACAGTGCACGTTACAAAGAGAATCTCCGTATCAATGCTTTCAACCCATCCATGCCACCAAGGACCTGACAGCTAGCGTCTTTAGTTCAGGGCCCGTTTGCTGAACTGAAAGATGTGGCGCTCAGCCCGAGTATCATTCTGGAAATAGCATGTAATAGCTGCAGCTCTTTTATGACTTATCTCGTGCTTGGAGCGATCTTTGCCGTCCGGCTAAACGGCGATGAAGTGTAAGGAAACAAAGAAGTGGCCAGCTGGTTAGATGCTTCAGTAGATAGTCGGCACAGCACCTACAGCAGATCTGCCTGCCAGCCCCGCCTGGACATCTCCCCATTCTGCCTCTTGCATATTATTCCATCTTTTCGTTCTCCAGCTCAGCTCTCGCTCTTCTTCCCTCTGCCTCACTCCACATCTGACGAATCGCATCCGTCATGTCCCATCGGCCGATCGTCGCCGTGCCACCCCCTGCATCGTGAACCTGGCGATTTGCTCAAGGCCCTGCTGCCGCATTTCGATTCGGGGCGAGCCTTGGATCAAGGCTGGCGGCCACTCGGGGCTCGCAGCTGCTAGGCGTCTGTCTCACCAACCAGTCGCTATTTGTCTTCTCGCCTGTCCACTCTTCCTCTCTTCTCTATCCTCTCTTCGCCATCTCTTTTTCTTTTTCTGTTTTCGCTCACTCGCTCGCTCGCTCCCAACATCCAATCATCACCCCATCAGCGTCTCACCCGCTGCCTCGGCGCTGCACAGATTATCTCCAGGGATCGCTTGACGCAAACTTAGCAGGTTTTCCATCCTGCTTACGCACTGCCTTGCTTGACGCTGCTTTGTTCTGCTTGCTTGCTTTTGCTTCCTCGTCTCGGATTGGCTGTGTATTTTTTTTGTGCTTAATTTATATTTTTGGGTGCCCGGCAGAGACTGTCTTGCTCGTCTGGCTCGCCATCCAGTAACGACTGGCTCTCCATCTCGCTCGACCACAGGAACCACCCGCCAATTGCATGAAGCCATCGAGCTCAGGCACCGTCCACTCGTCCACCATCATGCAAAGCAGCCCCTGTCTCAACCTCGCCGCCGCCACGTAGCTCGCGAATACCCTACCAGTGGCAGCCTGCGCTTCTCCTGTTAGTTTGAAGCGTGCAACAACCTCGCTATTGCCATGATGGCGGCGCCAGCCCCAAGAAACCACGGCTCTGCGCCTGAGCCTGCGGCACCGCGCCAGTTCAAGAAGCACCGGGTGCTGCCTCGGCCGGTTATCGATCAGGCGCACGACGGCTCCAGGCGCAAGGCGCATGGCGCTCACCTAACTAGCGGCACGCTGGCGCCCAGAAGTTCGACGCCTCACCCGATGTTAAGCTCAACGCCTCGCCCCGTTATGAGCTCCCAGCCCTTGAAGCACCAGCTCAGAAGAATAGGCACCGGGCCCGATCTGCCTCCAACGCCACCCGCGCTGTCAAACGCATCCTCCAGCGGCCAGTCCGCCACGCCATCGAGTCCGACGAGCACAGAGAATAGCGTTGGGCTGCCGCATGTCGTCGCGAACCGACCGCCGGCCACGCCCCCCGACCAGCGCGGCCCCCCGACGCCAGAAGTCACCCCGCCGCATCCCGTGAGCGTCGCCAAGATGCAGCGTCCGAGCGTCAGGGGCCGTATGGCTTCGGAAAGCACTAATGGGCCGTCGTCGAGGGCCGAGTCCTTCATCACCGCTCGCGAGGAACCGACTTCTTCAGAAGATGAGGCTGAGAGACCAGCTGGCTGGCCTCGCAGAGTTTCCACGGCTTCGCAAATCACCATCACTCGTTCTGATAAGACTGATGTTGCCAATGAGGCACGGCCGACGACTCCTTCAGATAGGATGACAACGAAGGATGTGGCGCTAGAAGGAGAGGATCAGACACCAAAGGTGAAAGGCAAAAGAGCTGAATCTGTTGGCACACAGAACCCTATTGTTGAAGCTGGACATCCGCAAGATGCCCACATATCCCCTGTGATAACGCCCCAGAAACACCAGCATCAACGCCGATCGCCGGGAGTGTCACGTCCAATCCTACACCATGATCGGGATCCTGTTGTCAAGGATAAAGTGTCCGTTGCTCCTACAGATGCGACACAAGCTGTGCGTAAAATGCAACTTCAAGAGGCCGCACCAGTAACGTCATCCTCGAAGAGACACGACGATCAAAAGCCGGTCCAGCTGGCTCACCCACAGGTGGAGGCTACAGCAAAGCGAAATGCACGACCGCTAAGCACGTCTAGCCAGTCGACTGTTGTCGAAGTACTTTTAGTGGATGAACGTCCGAAAAGACAAAGGGCTCTGCGTCATATGCGAAAGCAAAGTACCTTGCGAGATGTTACTGATAACAGGGAAAATGAGGGCTCGGTTGCCAAGAGTGCAGACCCAAATGAGACTCAGAAAGCTCCAGAAGCTGCACAGAGTTCGAAACCAGAAACCTATGATCGCGAGAGCCATGTGTCGACAGTGACATACTCAACAAACAGATCTATATCTAGCAGAAGTGCGAGACAGGAGATTTGGCGAAGCGGCGCTATCCCAGTAGTCATAGTGCCCAGCCGACGATCTTCTAGAGGTCCTAGGAGCAAGGAGCCTTCTCTTCGATCGACGTCAAGTAGGCATTCGGACAAGGCAAAGAGCACAAAGAGCACTCATTCCGCCCCTGCTCCAGATCCCGCGCCCTCTAGGAGCTCTGGCCCTGTCTTTGAGCGACCTGGTCGCCGGAGTCGAGCATATTCCGAATCTGATGGCTCTGTCAGGACAATTGACTTTCCCCCAGTGATTCCGGCGCGATCCTCGTCGCTCTCTGCCCCGACCAGTCGAAACGTTTCCAGAGTTGGATCAATTAAAGCTAGGTCAATTAAAGCCGAATCAATTAAAGCCGAATCGGTTAAAGCTGGATCGATCAATACTAGCAGTGTCAAAGTTCACTGCACCTCGATTGAACAACAGTCCGACCGCCATTTGAGCCAGGAAGTGCACATTATCTGCCCTAGCACGCCTTCGATAGACCCATTGACCCCTACATCTCCGGAAATGAAAGATTTGTCAAGGGAAGAGACCTTTGACCACCTTGGCTTTAGCCAACACGACGACGTGTTATCTGTAAAAAGGATTCCACTGCGAAACACGCCGTTCTCGGTTGCGTCCATGGAGACGTGCGCAACAGCTCCAGAGCTGTCAGAAGCTCTTGCTGTTCACATGTTTCCCCATCAAAACTCATCGGTCCTCATGGTTGACCATTCAAATCGACCATCAGAGATTCTAATAGCGAAACGGATGTCCAGTCCGCCTATACTAATGGCGAACTCTGAAGAGATGATACCTGTCACTCCTCCTCGGAAAAGATTCTCATCACTCGAGGTGGACTCTCCTTTGCGCAACCCGCGAGCTCCGCCTCAACCACCAAAACAGCCACCTGAATACCCGCCTGCGATCAATTTTATTCCCGCTACGCCGTCGGGAATGACACCTGCGGCTGAACGACTAATCCTTCAAGGAAATTACTTTGAATCGCTGAAAGAAAAACCTCCCCGGCGGCCTTCTATCGTCAGGAGAGCGCTCAGCCGACGTCGTCATTCGATAGCCTATGTGCCAAGCTCGAGAGGAGGCTTTCTTGCGAGGACATTTTCCATGTCGCGCAGAAACCGCGACGATAGCGACATTTCTCTTTATAAAGACAATGATAAGCCGACCGAGGAGGACAAGCTTCATCCGAATTGGCGCCCGCAATGGATTAGTGACACAGACTCCGAGCCTATGGATGATGACGGCTACGAAAATGACGATTACGATGACCACTATGAGCGCGATGATGAAGTCTATCGATACCCCCCGGTGGATAACCGTCCGCGAAGACGGACAAGGAGCTTCAGCCAAAAGGTGAAGCAGACATTTGCAATTCTGCCATCACGAGAGTATCACGTTGATGACGTGTATGGACCCCAGCGTCGGACAATTCGACGAACTTCCAGCGGAAATCTGCGAATCGTACGCCGCATCAGTATTGGATCTTTGAAGCAACGTCAGGGCCAAAGCGGAAACGAGAGATATACTGTGAACGGAGAACCTCGTACACGCTTCTGGCGAAACAGCAACGCTGGCCGAAGCAGTACACGGCGATTTTCTATTGGGGGCAAATTGGAAGATATTCAGAATATACCCCACAAGATAAGCGAGAGAAGGCGCGAGAAACGATCACAGAGACTCAGACAGATGATTAGCGGACCGAAAGTAGTCCGAGACGGTGTTGGCGAAGTCATCAGACGCTAACTAGGTGGTTCAAGATGTCACCACTCGACGATTCCGAAGCGTTTCATGGAACAAATGCCTTTGCTTTTCGCTACTATCTTTTTCTTTTCTTTTCTTTTCTTTTTTTATATGCAATGCGAGCAAGATTGATGACAAAAGATGAACGAATTTCCTTTATGATATGCAGAGGATATCGTGGGTAGAATGCCGGCATATTGCGTTACGATTTCTTTTTCTCTTGTTCTATTTCTCTTTCTTGGCAACGACATGATGATTCGATGACTGAAGGATGAATTCTCACAAACTCGTCCTCATTTCTATTTCCGCTTCCCTAAGTGGACAACAACAATTACGGAGTGATTTCTTTCTATTCGAGCTTCAACTCCACCCTTTTTAATTTGCTCTTATCAAAGTGCCATCTGCCTGGTAGTACAGGGCTGCGCTTTTTGAGATTTAATTTTCTTCATCTTTCCTTTTGCTATGTTGCTGGCCATATTACGTGTCTTGCATGGAAAAAACCACACGAAATTTGCAAAGAATTTAGGGGGGGCTTTGGTGGCTGGCTATGTATTGCTTTTTTCTCTTTCTTCTTCTCTCTAAGAATATGACACGAGCTAGGAATGAGTGAAATGCCCCGATATTTGATTTCTATACTTTACTTTCTGCTTTTCCGCCCTTTCTCCTTTTTTTCCGTTGCTGCGGCTTAGCTGTATTATAGAAGAAAAGGGTGGCGAGAGATTTGATTAATGCGATGCTTTTTTTTTTTTTTTCACTTTTCCGCCCTTTTTCTTTGGTTGGCGGAATAACGTTATTTTGTATGCATTATGTACGTTTTCGAGACTTAGAACGAATGAATGGAATGAGATGTATTTTCTGTATAAATGGAAAGAGTTGAGAGTAAAAACGGTTGCCTGATTTCCATGGTTATTCAGCTGTGCATGTATATTTGATCAATCTACTAGGTCGATATCATGTGTCTTGATGGCTCCCCATCTTCAATCTATTTAAACCAGTTGATATGCTTTTATAAAAAAGCAAGACATAAAAAAGTCCCAGAAAACGCAAAACACCCAAGCGCCAGTTATTACCCGTGATTTCATATCATACATGGATATATAGCATTCCCAGCCCTAATTCATCACCGCCTGTCCTGTCCAGGAGCAGGAGGTCCGCCAGCGGGAAACCCAGGCGGTGGCAAGCCTCCGGGAGGAGGGAACGCGTGCTGTCCCGGCGCAGGCATGCCGGGGAAGTTTGGCGGGGGGAGACCAGATGCGCCGGGAGCACCCGGAGGAGGGAAGGGAAGGCCGCCAGGAGGAGGAAATGGGAGGCCGTTGGGAGGCATCGGGGGCATTCCGTTGGGGCCGGGAGGGAAAGGAGGCATGCCGCGACCACCAGGGGGAGCTGTAAGTCTGGGTAGTTAGAAATTGACGTGGCGAGAGGTTTTTGAATATCAAGGGGGGTTGAACGTACGCGGGAGACCTTGAGGGAACTGTCCGAGGGGAGCTCCAGGCAGGCCTGGGAAGGGCGGAGGGACACCTAGGAATCAAGCAGCGTTAGCTTCTATTGCGCATCATAGACTCCTCAGCCACATCTTTATAGATTCGGAGTAGAGCGGCGAAGAAAGAGAATCCAAGGGGAGAGGATAGGATTGCCATCGCATAGCTTACCGCCGGGGAACCCAAACGGCGGGAATGCGTGGCCGGGCTGGTTCTGGAGAAGCATCGGGTTCGCGTGGGCCTGGCCCTCGGCGGCGTAGGAAGAGGTGATGGAGTCGATGACGGACTGGGCCTTTTCGTGGCCGATTTCTAGACGAGGATGAAGGGTTAGTCGGCGGCGAGAAGAAAGGAGGGAGGACGGTGACGGTTGAACGAACGCTGATAGTAGTCTACGACGTTGCGCAGGTGGTTTCGGCCGCTGTTGTGTGCCTTGCGCACTGACATGGAGTCGTGCGTGAGGTAGACATCGCAGTAATCGCCTTTGAAGCCGTGGTTAGTTAGAAACAGGTGAGGTGACATGAGCCTGAGCGCGTCGGTTTCGGCAGCTTACAGAAGACTATATGATCAGATTACGTTAGTTTCGGGTCAATCAACTGGGGGCGAGGGATGCGTTGGCGCTCACATTTGGGCATGGTGGCTAGATTTCGCAAACAAGAACAAGATATGTCAAGAAACGGTTGAAGAGTGATGGCTCTTTGTATCAACAGAAACAGGCGTTGGCGCCGAGGCTGCGACATCCAAAAAGTCGACGAGGCTGCTGCCGCCCCACACGTGATGCCAAACCAAATGGCCTCCTCTGATTGGCCCCCCTCGCCCCCTCCCCCTGTCAGTGCACCAAGTCAAGCCACACCACCAGCAGCTCTGGCCGAACGCGACACCTTTACCTTTTTGCGGGCTTGGCTTATACTTTTAGAACACATGCTTGTTCTGTCCCCCCAATTCCGCCCTCTGATTGGACTCGACGACTGAAATTCTATTTCCCCATCCCCAAAAGCGAATATCGAATTTCAAATTACAAAAAGGAAAATAAAAAAAACCCGGCCAATGGCGCTCAAGGCCCTCTCGCCCATGCGCTGGCTCAGCGGCCTGCTGCTGCTCGTCAGCGCCGCCAACGCCCTCAAGTTCGACCTGCTCGCCCACCCCGGCGGCGAGAGCCTCAAGAAGGAGAGATGCATCCGCAACTTTGTGGGCAGCGACACGCTGGTGGTGGTGACGTCGACGGTGGACGGCTACAAGGGAGACGGCATGCTGGTCAACATTCATGTATGTCCATCCGAATATCCGATTCTTGATTCGAGGAGAGGAGGGGCAGCGCAAAAGGGGATTGATTGATTGATTGGGCTTCACTAACATTATTATTACTAGGTTCGTGATGCCATTGGCAACGAATACGGCCGAGCCAAGGACGTTGCGGGCGAGTCCCGAATCGTCTTCACCTCCCACGCCGACGCCGCCTTTGACGTCTGCTTCGAGAACCTCTTCAGTGGCAGTACGTTGTCCCATCTCCCTTTTTTTCTCCACCATCTTTCGACGATATCTACTTCAATCATCCGCTAACACATTTCTCTCCAGACACCAAACCCCGACAGAACCTCCGCGTCGTCGAGCTCGACATCGACATTGGCGCCGACGCAAAGGACTGGTCCGCCATCCAGGCCACCGAGAAGCTCAAGCCCGTCGAGGCCGAGCTGCGCCGCATCGAGGAGCTGACCGGCGAGATTGTCCGCGAGATGGAGTTCCTCCGCTCGCGCGAGCAGAAGCTGCGCGACACAAACGAGAGCACAAACAACCGCGTCAAGTGGTTCGGCGTCGGCACCACCTGGCTGCTGGTCATCCTGTGGGCGTGGCAGATTATGTACCTGAGGGCGTACTTCCGCTCAAAGCACTTGATCTAGGGCGGGTCATGCATCGAAACAAGCTTTGGTGGGGGGTTTTAGACGAAGGGGGGAAAAGAAGCAGTAAGAAGAGAAATGGAAGGGGGGGCTTTTATTGCGAGACAAACGCTTTGGAGCGTCGTTATTACACGGCTTGCCTCTATGTGGCGTATAGGAATCAAACATGGGAGAAAAGGGGGTACATGAGGATGGTGGTAGGCGCTAGCGTTTGCAATATCATGATATATGAACCATCGAGATGAAGATTTGTTTAAAAAAAAAACACAAGGGAAAAAGAGGGGAACCTGTTTTTTTTTTTCCAATTTAATAAAGAAAAATTTAAATTCACATATACGATCCTGTCAACGTACTCCCGCGGCCCAATTTTGCTCAGCGTCCTCCGTATCACTTAGTTACAAAATCACAAACTACAAAACATTCAGAGAGGACAATTTCAAATCGAAGTCACTGCCAATTTCTCATTTTCTACGAAAAAAGAAAAGATTAATGGCACTTTCTTCCTATTTCTCTTCTCTTCTGCCTCTCATTTCCATTTCATGCTATCATTGTGTCCTCCTCTACCTCCCTCCCAGCTAAGCCCCATCCCATCCGCCTCTCCCCTTTTCCCAATCAAATTGGTATATATAACTTTCCCTTTCTCATCTAAAAGAGGAAAAATAAAAGATAGAGCCCGCCCGCCAGTCTAGCACGCAAAAAAAATGAAACCAAGGGATTTAATTAAACTAGCCTTCCTCCTCCCAATCAAAAGCAACCAACCAACCAATCAACCTAACCCAGTCCGCCAAACGAGAGAAAAAAAGAAAAGAAAAGAAAAGAGACATGGTTGGAAAGTAGAAAAAAAAAAAGAGGCCGGAAAATGTATCAAATCAAAACCGAGCGCCTCGCCGTCTCGTCTCGTCTCATCATCAGTATGTCTCGTTAAAAATAAATAATGCAATAGAAACGAAAATAAAAAGAGTCCACGCTGCAGCCCCCTCTTACAAGGAACTTGGGGAAAATGTAGGTAGGTGGGATCGAGGGTATCATGAGCAAAAAGGCGGGCATTTCATGAGCAGCCGAGAAGAAGAAGGAATAAAGAAAATATAATTAGATTTTCTTTCCACCTTCTTCCTCTTTTGTTTTCAGACTTTCCTTCAAACCACATCACCCCCCTCCTTCCGGCAGTATGCTGCTCAAACTCCTCAATACCATCATGATTGGCATATCTTTGGTCCCCGCGCTCTTTTTCTCCCTCTCCTCCCGCTCTCGTAATCTCACGGAACTTAGGCTCAGTACTTTGTCGGCTTCCTTGCCCGCTACCTTGACTCGCTGTTCCAGCTTATGTACGCTGTCTGTTAATTGATCGACTTCGAATTCGAGGGACGATTGGATGTGCCGTAATCGTGCTTGTGTTTGTGATCGTATGCTGGCAAAAGTATTGGTTTCGTCGACGAGGAAGCCTCTGATTTGACCTTCATCGGGGTCTAATAAGTCGAAATCGGGCAACGTTATTGTCTCTGCTTCTTTTTCCTGTGGTGTGAATAGAGGTGGCTGGTCAGGCACCGGTTTCCGTATGGCTAACCACGCTTTCTTTTCTTCTTGCAATCTGGGTTAAGTTAGCTTATAGTCCTATATAACCCAATGCATACCTAATGACTTGCCTCTTCACTTTTGCTCCTAAAGTAGCCAGCTTCTCGTCTAGCTCAATGTTTCTAGGATTCGGTCTTAGTATGACTGGCGCTTTGGGCACTTTCTCTTCTCTATTGAACCAATCTGAAAACTCTGATCTTGACGAAAAATCTTTAAGTAGCTGATCTTGGATCGCTCGAGCTGGAATAAGAATCTTGGTTAGCAAGAAGGGCGCTCTCAACAACTTATCCCATTCAATGACGAGAAATCCTCACCTCCAAGAACTGCGCCAGAGTTCAGGGTCCCCCGCGGCTTAGCTGACAGTGCCCGCTCGCCACACCATATCAACAGCTGCTTCATCCGCCGCGGCTCCAGCAAATCCGCCTCGATATGCTTGTAAAACGCAGCAGTGCTGACTTCGCGATGGGGAATCGCTGTCTGCCCGCTCTCAATTAATGAGCTTGCTCTCCGTCCACGAGATCCCAGACTGCTTCTGCGGCTGCCGCCGGTCCCCCCCTTTTTGCGCATTTCTTTATTGCGGTTGATTATTGGCGTGTCGCTCATTGGTAGCTTAATTTTAGTTGGCTCAGTCGACGTCTCGTGCACAGGTGAGTCCACTATCGAAGCGTCCTCTTCAAGCTCTTCCTCCTGTATTACTGGTGGGGGCGGTGCTTTTGATTTTGCCGTCTTTTTGCCACGGCTCTGGCTGCTCGATGAGCCATTTGCCCGTGGCGGAGGAGGCGCTTGCTGCTGCTCTTCCGGTGCTGCATCGTCGCTTGATAATCGCGAGCTTTTCCTCGTCCCTCTTTTCGATACTTTCGCAGGCGGTTCATCCTGGATCGCGTCATTGGACGACGCTTTTCGTCGTGAGGGCGCCTTCTTTGCTGTTGTTGTCGCCTTCTTTGCTGTTGTTGTCGCCTTCGGAGCCTTTTCCGCCGCGATCAGCTCCACGTCCTCATCATCATCACGGGTTGACGCTCTCCCCGACCGATTTTTCGCCGCGACAGTCGCTGCCGATGGTGGCCTCCCTCTTCCCGATTTCCGTACAGGGAGAGCTACCGGCTCTGGCGGCTCTTCGGTGGTTTTCGCCTTTTTAGATTTCCGCACAAATTGAAAGTCGTCGTCCTGTTCGTATTCGGCGGCTGCTCGTCTAGTCAGCATTTCTTCCTCTCTTCCTCCCCCGCTTTCTCCTTCTAATGATAAGGGTCCAACAAACCCGGCTGGCGCTTTGATCGGCGCGCTGGCTGGTCGTTCATGCTAAGAAGTTCCAGCGGCTGTCGAATGGTGGTAATGAGAGTCGTCATGGATGGCTTCTTCGGAAGCTCCTCTTGGTGGATCGCATGAGAGATTGACAGGCTGCCGTCGCGAATTGCAGGTTTCTGCGCCCCAAATACGGCAGCACAAAAAATCCTGTCGCCGTCGAGAGAGGTTCAAAAGTGTCGCGTGTGCTGATGAGGCGGTAGAAGATTGGGGTTTTTTATTCAGCCTTGTCGCGTCAAATGCCTGCGCGCGTGTTTCGCTCGTTCGTCCACCGCATCCACCTGCGGCGCAATCGCTGCTGAATTTCCCCGCCTAAATAATGCCCAGTCCGGGAGGATCCAGCCTGTATCGATGCTGCGTATGCGCTGCTCCGTCTTTGCCGGACGAAGATGGAAACTGTGCTCGTAGAGACCGCCAAAGTGTTCTTTCTTTTGCATTGGCAGTGTTTACTTTTAGGAGCATGCGAGAGGACGCTTTTCCAAGGCTGGCGCTAGTCCTGTTTCGGACAGACACTACCCCACCCCCTCGGTCTCATCATGGCGGCGGCTGATTGGCTGGCTGCAGGAGCTTTAGCTGAGCAACTGAGCCAGAGACATTCGGCTGCGCTAAAGCTTGAACGTCCCAACTCCAACAGAGAGCTATCGTGGGAACGTGGATAGCTTAACGCCGGAGTAAACGCCAAGATACTAGTTTCAGACGTTACCATATATTCACTTAATCCAGCATGGCTATTACATAATACTAGATTGCGTCAAAAAACTTCATCCAACGTGGCAATTGCAAATATATTCCTATACAACCACAGCGTTCTCTCCGAGAGTAAACTCTGGATTCACGAGGAGCAACAATCAACAATGTTAATGCGATGCACTTATTCCATTTTCAAACGTTCTCCCACTGGTCTACCTCATATCAACTCGCTAGGCAATCATGTAGCTTCCGTTTTTTTCTAAGCTACAATAATACCTAAAATTCAAACCGTCAAACACCAAGTATCTCGCCCCCCTTTGAGAGTACATAGATTCACCCAAACGCCTTCAAAGTAAAACCAAGCCCCGTCCAGTCCCAACACCTTTTGATGTGTGTATACCTTGCCTTGCCACTATTTACGTACATTGTAAAGTAATACCGGTGAAGAGAGATATATGAAAGGAAAAAGCCGGGGTGGGAACAGCCCCGGAAATGGTCAAGGCACTGCCAACACCCACATATGGTGCGGGAAGGACCAAAATAAACAAGGAATAATAAGGAATAGTAAGGAAAGAAAAGGCAAGTCTTCAAAAAAAGAAGAAAAAAAAGAGAAAGAGAAAATGAATAGCCCCGAAACCCATACCAAAGGCGAATGCCTCCTCCGCTGATTCATTCGCATCTTTAACATGGTATAATTATACAGGGCAGAAATGTGTAACACGTGAGTGCCGTTTGTCAGTGACCCGCGTGCGTATGTCATAGGTTATCGGAACAGTCGACGAAGCCGTTCATCGAGAGGTTCCATGCGCGTCATACTCGGAATTTGGTACGCAGTCGCACTCTAAAAATAAACGTCAAGCCACGGTATATAGCAGTGGAAGGCTAAAGTGACCGCCGTGGTAGATGTGGTGATCGAGGTGGGCGGAAAACCGGTAGTGGTGGTAGTTCTGGTGCTTGGGGACGCGATGTTGTGCGCAATGACGGAGCATAAATCGGGTTGGTCATGTATTCTTCAATAGATACAGAGGCACTCTGATCCTTGGCAGCGGGCAGCACAACACCTGCGCCAGTCATGAATAATTCTTCAAGAATAGAGGAATTCTGATCCTCAACAACAGGCAGCTCAACACCTGCGCCAGCCATCAAGTCTTCAAGAGATATAGAGGAACGCTAGTCCTTAGCAACAGGCGGCCCAACACCTGCACCAGTCATGACTTGCTGCGTAGGTGAGGGTAAGGGGTCATTCATATCCTAAGAAAAGCGCCGTTGGACACCCTGGCCAACCATGGCTTGTTGAGCAGGTATCGGGGCCGCCATCCCATAGGGATTCATCTGCGGGTTGAAAGGCTCAACTACTTGTGACATGAAAGCACCGTGGAGACCTTGGCTCTGAGTCACGGGGCAATCCTTGTGAGCAAGCAGAAGAGTTTTGAGATTGACCACCTCTTCTCGCAGTTGCGTAATCTGCTGCGTCAAGGCGTCGTTTTCACTACTAAACATCTCGACCTTGGTCTGGAGATTAGCCAGCCACTGCTTCTTGCGTTGTCGACATTTGAGGGCAGCCACACTATAGCCATATATTAGCTCAACTCAACGCACAAAAAAAAAATTGATAGTGAGAAGACGTGACATACCGGTTACGTTCCAAAAAGTTCTTACGCTTTTCCTCATCCGTCATCTTAGACCTTCCAGGAGCATTTTCATCAAACCTATCCATGTCCTCATCTGAATGTTCCTCGTCAACGGAGCTGGCCGCGCCGCTGTTGGCCTTGGTTTTCTTGGCAGCGGGTGCCTTGGCAGGCATCTCATCAGCTTTTCTCCTGCCATTGGCGGCAGGGGGGTTCTTCTTTCCCTTGCCTCGTGTCTGCGGCTTCTGGTCACTTTCATCCGAGCCGTTGCTGATTTCACTGACTCCCCGTTTGGAGTCTACTTTAACGTTGTTGGCCATTGGCGGCGACGTGTTGATATTCGATTGAATTGCGGGGGGCGGGTGTGCGTGCGCGGTAGGTGCAGTTGTGACTGTGAATTGAGGTGTAGGTTGAGCCCCGTTGCGGCCTTGGGCGAGCATGAAAAGACCGTTGGCCGCGTCGTTATCGTGGGGATCAAATGGCCCGGATGAAGATTTGGGCTCGGCTTTGGGGATAACGGTGCCGTTGGTCATGTCCTGAGGCTGAGAGGTGACCGCGGGCGGCTGCGGTGCAGGCGGCTGAGCTCGAGCAGCCTGTTCCCGCTTTGCGGCGGCGCTCAGAGCTGTTCGGTGAAAGTCGAGGGTGCTGGGAGTCGCACCACCACTGGCCAGCTGGGCAAAGAGGGCAGAGTTGGGACTCGGGGCCGGGAACATAGACCCGCTCCCGCCCGGAGTCAGTCCAGTGCGCAGCGAAGACTCGTTGGGCGTAGGGAAGCCGCCGCGCAGGTGATGTGTATCGCCAAAGTAGTCGGTAGGTCCGGACAGCATGGCAGGGCTTAGCGGGCCGGTCCGCAGGGAGCCTCCGCCCCAGTTGAAGGGAGTCGCGTTGCTCCCGGGCAGCAGGGACGAGGGCGACGTCAAAGCAGCGACGCTGGGGAGCTTGGTTCCTCCAGGAGTTTCTGGACCACCACCCCCAAACGACTGCTCAAACGGATTGGGCTCCAGGCTGAGGGAGCCTCCAGAAACCTGAGGCGCGTAGTATTCCGGTGTGTTGGAGCCTTGCTGTGATTGTCCTGGTCGAGGCGGTGGTGCAAGTGGCTTGGTCGCCGGAGCATTAGACGTAATGTCCGGCTTGGTGAGAGAATCGATCTTCGCGCTGACGATGGAACCTGCGAGGCGGAGAGCGCTTTGTAAGTATGGCAGGACAGCAGCAGCAGCAATTGGGCAATTGGAACGTAGCGGGTAGGCGGTGCGTAGAGATGAGGGAATAGCGGCAATGACGATGGTGGAAGAGAAGCAAGTGTAGTGTCTAATGACGACGATGCAGGAACCACAAGGGGGAAGACGAGGAAGGGTAAAAAGGCTTACCTTGCCGTGTGGGGGAGATGGACTGCTTTGGGGACTTGGACTCAATTACGTCGGTCACAGTCGTCCCCATGATGACGATGATGTATTATCCCAGCAGACAGCAGACAGTGCAAAGGGGGGCGTTGAGCTACCGAGTATGTGGGGGAATGGCAGACGGGAGGAATTGCGGCGAGAGAATGGTGAGAGGTTTGGCAGAGAGAGCAGAGCGAAACGACGGAATGAGGTCAGAGGCAGAGCGTAGCGTGGAGGCAGAACTGCGGCAGTGGATAAGTTGGGGCGGTTTTGCGTTGAGATGGCGCGTTGCTGTCAACTCTGTTTTTGCCCTTGCTTGCTCTTGATTTAAACAAACTCTCAAAGCAGCCCAGTGTGGGCGGTCGGGTCTCTATTTTTGTGAGGGGCGTTCTTCCTCCTCACGCGCAGAGTTAGACGATTGAGGTGCAGCAGAACGCTTGGCCCGAAGCAGAAGGAAAGGCAAAAAGGGCCAATTCGATCGAGCTTGCCCCGTGCAGGCTCGCGGCCAAAAGCAAATCGCTGGATATCGAATCTGAAAATCCAAAGATGCCCCCAGAGTCTCGTGCCGCTAGAACGGCCACTGAAGCTATGCGGGGAGCGGAAGGCTGCGTTGAGAAGCGCTGTAACTTGAGGTGGTGATGAAGAGTGCACGATGGTGGAAGGAAGACGTCAGAGATGACGTTGTGAAAAGTCGAAGGCGCAGAAAAAAGAAGGCGGGCGGCTCTGGGGGCGCTGCTTGGCTGCTGGGCTGCTCTTAGGCCTTTTTCTGCGACGGGGCCTGCAGAGACTTCGCTGACAAACCTGGGTCGCCGCCGCACTGTGCGGGACGCCGCTGCGAATCTCGCGATTGGGAAACCGGGTGGTGTAGACCGTGTGAAGATGCGCGCAGTCGGACGGTGTACTCGTTATCGACGGGAGGCGAATTCTGTAGGGCCCAAGCAGCATGATTGGACAGCGCCGTATATTGCACGTGTTTTTCGTACTGTCGGTGCCCGTGCATACCTGCCTGGAGCTTGCATACCTTGCTCCAGCGCTTCCACCCCGTCTGGCGAGTTTACGAAGCAGAGGCAGAGGTGGAAAAGGGTGAGACCAGATGCAGCCAGATGCCACATCAATTCACCTATAAGATTGGGAATAAGGCCGGCAGTGGCAGCCGCGCGTCAGATGCTGGCGTGCGCTTCCATCGTGGCGCCGAAAAGGGAGCATCCAAAAGCCCAACAGTCCCGTCAACGACTCCATCTCATATCAAAACAAAGTCCAGATTGTTGTCGAAATGGCTTACAGTGTCGCTTCCCACTCACTGCCGGAGCTCTGTACGAGCAGCACCTCCGCAAAAGGAAACAAAAAGCAGGACTGGAGAAGGCATTGAAGCACTGTCCAGGCACTGTATCAAAAGTGGACTCACAGGATGCTGGGAGGGTCGCTCTAGCGTGCCACTGTTGATGCAGGCAAGGGTGAGGAGATGTTGTGGCAGCAGAGAAGAAAAAAGAGGTGGAGCTTCTGCAACATGGGATCCATGTACTTGTACCACTACTGGTAAGGCAAGTCCATGCTGCTAGCAATGACGCTTCTCTTACGGGAAGACTTGAGCACGACATTCGATAGAGATGATGACTCTGGAAGCCACAGACAGGAAGAGACGAGGCAGACGAGACGAGAGTGCCTCTGCAGAAGCGTGGGAGAGAATGGCATGAATTGCAGCAGCAGTGGGACAAGGAAAGAAGCCAGATGCAGCCACCTGAGAGCTCGCTAATCTATCTACTCACCTAGACGAGGCGTATACGGGTTGACGGGCATCGCTAAGAAACGCACACTCGTACGGTTGCTCTGGGCGCGTGTACCAGTACATAAGCATCACCAAAAGCCATCAAGAAATCGCCTCACTGACTGATAATTCCGCATGCCGCACCGGAACGATTAACAATGTCCAAATTTTTGACGCTCCCCCCTTAATTCCGTATCAAACCACCAGCCGGACAACCGTTTTGATTTTCCCTTCGGCGACATACATGCCTCTTGCTGGGGCTCTCCAGGATGTGGCAATTTGGCCGCCTCCGTATATTACTGGTGCGCGTTCAACACACACACCAAAATCCCCTCCCACAAAGTGCGGCATTGCCTCCGCGCCGACCTTCTGGCCAACTAACGATCCTTGTAAACTGGCCAACTACAGCTCACCTTACTCGAGCTCCGTACTCTAGTCTCGTCTTATTGCAGGTAGACACTGGCTAGGCCTGCTCTGTTCGCGCCGTGAAGAGGTGGTATTGCGTTGTCTTGAAAGTACAAACCCGCCCATATCAAACGGAGAGAAAAGGAGAGACTTACAATATTTAGACATTCACATTACGTCAGATGTCTTTTGTCCCTCTTGTTTTACCATTGAAGCCCTTCGCAACTTGTTCAAGACATTTTACCGTTGCATCTGCTTGAAATGGATGCGTATTCCCACTTGCCTAATTCGGTCGGCTCTGGAAGCGGAAGAGCAATCCATCCGTCCAGCTCTTATTAATGGCCAGATATCAGAGCAGCACCAGCACAACCATTTTTAGTTGCCATCAACCCTCGAGGCAACAAGCACAACAGATCAAGCGAACTTTTTCTTAATTTCTTTGATTATGAGCAAGACCAGCCAGCGAATCACAGCAGCGCGATGGCCGCAGCGAACATACGGTCCTCCTTCCCTCGCACACAGTGTAAGAGACGACCCCCTGAAATGACCCGCCCTTCTCCACATCGTACCATCGTCCGTGACACTGTGCCGCGACTTTTTGGCCCAAGCCCGGAGCTGGCTAATTGCTGAGCGCCATATGATCGCCAGGTGACGTCAGCATGAAAAAAAAAAACCAACAAGGTCAACAACCAAGGCACGCAACAAGGGAGGTCCATCCACCCCAGAACGCTGTTGAAAATGCTTCTGGAGCGAAGCCAAAAAGGGCCCCACGGAATCCGCACGCGTCTTTGTTGTTGGCCAAGTCTCGTGTACTAAGCAGGCGGCGGGATTCTCTCTCCTTGGGCGTCGGGACCTGTGACTTGGCGACTCGTTGCTGCCAGATGGGCGCAACTCTGTGTCGATCCTATTTTGAGTCTTTTGCCTTGCCTTGGTTCTTTATTTTTGCCTTTCTTCACTTATTTTCTGCTCCCGCCAAGCCGTTTCTCGCTTCGACGCCACGTCCCCACCGCAAGGCTGCAGTTCTGGCCAAGCTATGACGCAACTTTCCGCCGGGCCATTGTGAAACAAAGTTACAGCCGTAACGTTGGTTCCGCGTAAAGACGCCGCGATGGCTGCTTGTTTACCCTGCAACCGTCAACAGACAACAACTCGGTAGTCTATTCAGCATCAACCCGAAGAAATAAACCGCGTGGTTTTTCTTCTGCTACTGTACAGTCCCAAAAGTCGCGTATAGTGGGGACGTGTTCTGTAGGTCCGAGAGCGACCTCCATGTCAGTAGCCACCTCCTTGTAAGCATATACTGTACGACAAGTTCAAACATCGTTGCAAACACCAGAAGCACGCCAAGACGCTTCAAATAAACAGCGTCGACCACCTTCTCAATAGCTGGCCCCTCAGCTCAGAACAACGGCGCGCCCTAAAACTCCCCCCGAGATGGTCTCAAAGCTGACTCTGTGATCATCTCGCATGCAAGCATCCTTGGCGCCTAATTCCGAAGAACACCAGAGGATCGAGATCTCCTTGCCTTACCTAGTATTGCTAGCTAGCATGTCCCATGGCCCTTTTGCGTTGGGCTATTGTTTTGGGCTGCGGTACCTGATGCTCATGATGAAATGATGATCAATCTCCCCCGGATTGTCTTCCCCTTCGTTGCGGGACACGAAAGGATCAGCGCGGTGCTTATACCTTCTTTGGCAGACAGGTGTGCGCGGGAGGGGAAAGGCTGGCCACTATTTCCAAGGCAACGGGGCTTCAGGTATCTTGAGGGTAGCTCGACGGTGGAAAGCTCTAAAAACGTGAATGGGTTGTCAGGCGCCTCCCTACTATCCGGCCAGCCGATGTAAGTCTGTAGGTGAGTCTCCAGAATCCGGGTTGGCAGCCGGTGAAAGGAAAGAAGTGAGAAGAAAGGAATAAGCATCGCGTGATGCAATATTTCTCTTTCTCGTCTGTCAAGCATGCTACACGTCTATCTCTCTTGTGGCTAGCTGTCCGGAGAGTTCAGGAGCTGAAAGGCTGCAGCGCTCTTGGGGTCCTGCTGATCCGTAAGAAGCTGTGCGACTACGCTACCACGCGGCCATCTGATGTGCTACAAGGTCAAATATAGATTTGTAAGATCCCTTCTTTAGGGCGCAGGTGAATGCGGAGCGTGTGAATCAGTCCATCTCGTTGTAAAATGATTGTCGATGTTGTCTTTCTCAACTGGGCAGCTCCCACTTTCTCCAACAGACAATGGTTTAGTCCAATCCAACAAGCTGGGTACCTAGATTGGCCGTAATTTGACAGCAGCATGTTATGCTGAACATAGTGCCATCTCTACTTTTATTATAGCTGTGCTGATCAGTTGAAAGAAGCCAACAGCAAACTTATGATATACTCTAGGGTAGTAACTAGGGACTCGAATAGTGAGCCAAACCCAACCAAATGGGTCCGTAACAATACCGTAGAGCACTGGGTACATACATGAGGTTGAGTTGAATGGTTATATCCGTTTAATGGTTCCATATCTATCTGCTCAATCTTGGCATGATTTAGGCTGAGGTCATCCACACCCCAGACCGTAAATTAGCATCGCGGCCAACACGCATCCCGCCCAATTCACCCCCCTACAGGACAAGCATGCAGTCTAATGCCGTCAATTCGCCAGACAACTACCTCGCCATATATGAAAAGAAAAACGTTTAATCCTTCGAAAGAATGTCTCTTCAAGACCTCTACAGCTTCGCAGCATCCTTCTTACCCCCATCATATCTCCTCACCTTATACCCATGCCTCGGAGCATGCAACCTCACACTCTCCCCCTTCGCCGTCTCAACCTCAATAACCACCTCGTCCTTGTCCAAACTCAGCAACTTTCCAACATCCTTGTGCGACCTCCCCGTATCCGTCGGGCAAATTGAAACGACGCTCCCCTTTTTCAGCCCCTCCGCCACCACCAGCGGATCCCCCTCATCCACCGTCTTCTCCTCTTCGTTCCACGCCGACTTCTCAATCACACTCGCTGCCTCTTCGCCATTCAGCGTCTTGGGCTTCCCGTTCTTCGCCTTGGCTGCCGTGACCGCCTCCTGGAAGCGCTTGATCCACGCATACACTCGAGGATATCGTTCTGCCGAGAACCTATCTTCCGGCAACGCCCCCTTTAAGCCAGACACCCAGTGAAGCGTCCATACGCCCTCGATGTCTGCCAGGCTAGGCTTCTCCGTCTTCAAGATCCATTCTCGCCCATCCGCCAGCAACGTCGTCTCCAAAAGATCAAATCCGACTGCAATCTCTGCCAACGCATCGGGACGAATCTTTTTCAACGCCTCTAGGGTGAAAGGCTTCCCTGAAAAGTCTCCCCTGTCCTTCAAATAATTTGGGTCCTTAAAGAGCGGTAGATCCAAAGGAAGCAATCTTGCGGCTTCCTGGAAGATGCCTCCGTCAATGATGTAAGCTGAGAGTAAACGTTCCACACCCTTCTGTTCTGGCGTAGTTGCTCCAAGGCGAGGAAGCTCGGGATACAATTCTTCCAGCTTTGGCAGTTGAAGGCGCGTATCAAAGTAAACGTCCCTGCCAATGGAAAGAATGGGGATGCGGCGATACGCGACACCCAGGCGAGCGACGTCTGGTCGCGGCATCATAGTAGGTTGAAGCTGAAATTTGACATGTTAGCTTGAGATGCCTTGGTTCAAGACTCCAAGTTTGTACAAAACTTACACATTGGCTGTGCGGAATTCCCCGTAGAGCCAGATACCAAACCGTCCTTCTTGCATAGGGGGAGTGTGGGTAGTGGTACAGAATGATTTCTTTGGCTGCCATTTTCACGTTTCGTAATAAATGATGTAAAGATAACAAGAACTTGACAATTACAACTGGTGTTACGGTGGACTACTTCATGCCGTATATAAATCGACAAGTGCCTGCAGCTTGCTTACCAACGTTGCGGTCTACTTGCAGGCTCCGCGAACCTCGGCTTATTAGGGGTGGGGTAGCCGGGGTAAACTACCGCCACGGCAAAGTAGTGTTAGAATGTTATACTTGCGGCTGCGATACCCATGGCTCTGCGGCTTGAATCCTTTTATTAGAGGCAACGAGGTAAATACCACCCAGTGTTATGCTATCATCTACCTAGGTGTGTATGAAGCATCTTGCTTTGTGCGTTCTCGTATCTGCCCAGGAGCGTATCGTCACGCCCTCATCTGAATGCGTAGTAAATCTTTCCCATACTAGGGTCAACTATAATTCGAGTAAAAAGCAAAGTCGTCATAAAAATCGAGTCTCTCTGGGTTGCTGTACTAGGGCAATGAATTACCAACCGCCCGCATCGCCTCCGTCGCCGCCGCCGCCGCCGTCCGCGTTGTCGGCGTAGCTATTGTCGTAGCTATTGCCAGCGTAGCCATCAGCCTGAGTTGGCTGTTCATCTCCATTGCCGAGGTCCTGGTCCGCAAAAGCCCCCGAGTCTTTGGGTGGCTGCTTGCAGCGGACTTTGGTATGTCCATACTCCTCACAGTTGGTACATTGGACTTTGGACCCTGGAATTTGAGTGTTAGCAAGAGAATCGTGTACGGAGTGTTGTTCTTAAACTTACAGTCCCGAGGCTTGGGACACTCTTTGCTGTAGTGTCCAGTTTCCTCGCAGTTGCGACAGGTAACAAGGTCCATGTTTCTGGGCTGGTCACAATCCTTGGAAATATGGCCTTCCTGGCCACAATTGCGACAAGCCCTGCTGCCTCCATCTGGGCAGTCTTTGGCGAAGTGGCCGGCTAAGTACTGTTAGTTGCTGTATCAGTCTGGAAGATGTAAACTTACTCTTGTTGCATTTGCGACACTCAACATTGTCCATGTTGGGAGGCTCTGGGCACTCTGCGATTTTATGTCCCGATTTTCTGCTCGCTATTAGTGTTTGATCAGCGCGTTGAAGGATAAAAAAGTAAGACTTACCCGCAGTTCTTGCACGCGAACTTGTCAACGCGTGGCTCGGGGCCTATGAAACTAATTAGAAAACTCAATCATGATGGAATCGGCGCTGCAACTTACAGTCTCTGACTCGGTGGCCTTCATTACCGCAGTTATAGCACGAGATCTTTGGCTTCTCTGAAGCGTGCTCAACTCGCTCCTGGGTGCAGGCCTTGGACGTATGACTGAGCTCGCTACAGTTGTAGCATTTAGGAAGGCCTCTATCAACAACTATTCCTGCATTGTCCAAGCGAGAGAGGATCTCACTATGATCTTGAGGCCAGCCATCGATTTCACGAGGCCGCTCGGGCTTATCGGAGAACCTGAACGAGACGCTATACTTCTTGTCAATGTTGCCCTGGAGATCCATGTTGGTGAAAGTATCAATCAGCTCTCTTTCCAAACCAATGAGCCAAAGCTTGACATTCTCTTCCATCAATTTCTCTTGGATTTGGCGGTAGGTGACCTCTCCTCCTAGAGCCTTGACATATTCCTCGACCGCTTCTTTGACATCATCGTAGTCTCTTTCACGAGCTGCCTGCTTGATCTTGGCCCAGGCATCTTCCGGAGTAGTATCGGCAACGTGGTCACGATTGACCTTGCGGGCATTCTCGCAGTCCTTTCTGAAATGGCCTAATATAGTTAGTCAAAATTCATCGATTTCTTAGAATTTGATTCATCCAGCTATACCTTCTTCACCGCAGTTGCCACAAGTCATAGGAGGCTTATCGGGGCAGTCCTTGACCATATGGCCTTCCTTCTTGCAGTAGCGGCAAGTCTGCGCTTCAGCATTGGGGCATTCCGCTCGCCTATGGCTGTGACAAAGTAGTTAGCAACGGATTGCTGCAGAACAAGAAACATGCTACTTACCCTTCCTCGCCGCAGCCGAAACATTTGTCATTTCCGTATTCTCCAGCATCATTGACATCGCCTTTATAACCACCATCGTCGTAGTTATTGGCATTGCCTTTATAACCACCGTCATCATAGTTGTCATTGAAACCTCCAGTGTTGCCAGCAGGATCGTTTGAACCGTAGTTCCAGTTGTTTGCCTCAGCGTTTCCCTTTTCAGAGACGTGAGAATTGGACTGGGCCCAACCGCCCGTCTCTACTCCACCGCCCCAGTCTGCCATCTTCAATTTGTACGAGATGGAGGTGATAAGTTGGGAAGTGAAATTCCTTTGATTTGTCAGAGAGGTACTTGTGAAAATAGAGAAGAATAACACGAGAAGCTGAAGGCAATGGCATGCTCTTTGGATGGAGAGCTGTGCGGAAGGGATTGGATAGTTGCGTCAAAGTGAGCAAAAGTCAAGGACCAAGAATGAGAGGCAGTGACTCAAGGGAGAGAATCGGAGGTGGCCATGGCAGGAGGAGCGAAGACAGAGAGAGATAAGTAGATCGAGGGAGTTTGAAGATGAGGAGCTGCCAAGCGACAAAATCAGAGATGCTTACCTTTGATGGAATTTCAAGAAAACAGGCGCTTGATGAACGAGGTAAATGAAAAGCTGCCTCTATATCATCGAAGAGTTAGTTTGCAGTCTTGAACAGATTGCGAGACTACGTGAGCAATTGTTACTCACAGCTTTGATGCGTATCCTGCCCCAGCAGATGGAGATGATCAAGATGAAGGATAGGTGAAAGGAAAAAGAGAAAAGAAGAAAGGCAAGGGAGGGAAAGGAAGAAAAGAGAAGGAGCGTGCAGCAGTTGGCAGGGCAGCCAGCAACCACCTGGCAAAGGCGGTGCCCGGAGCGGCAGAATGGGGGCAAGTTATTCCATCCGCATTTCGTCTGAGAAGGGATGAACATTAGCAGCTGGCAAGGTGAATATATAGGGCTATCATAAGGAGAGCAGCTTCGTATCTTGCGGAAAGCAGAGTGCTTGATGTTGACAATATGACTCTCGAAGAGCAAAGTCCCTTGAATTTGTAGACCACAATAGGGACGTAGGACATGTAGAACGATGGGACTTGCTTTGCAGCCTATCACTTTATCACCTGTATGAGATTGCCTTGGCATAATAATCTGAGTAAAGTAACTTGAGCTAATTCTAGGCTTGACAAGTTTCTCGACTGTGCTACGCAATGTTGTTCTCGGCATAGGCCTGCGGCATAGGTATGCAACGCGGAATCATTTCTTTCCAGATTTCACCATATTTGACTAGCAGACACTATAGCATCTTATCTTATGCTAGTAGTGATGAAATTACGATGATAATAGTTTGCTCTGTACATTGGCTTGTAGCTGTGTTTTCTCTTCCCTCTTGGTGACTCCCAGCGACTTTTTCTGCTTGGCAATAATCCATCTTGGATGATAGATCCTGGAAATCAAGACACAACACGAAAGGAGATAATATTGAGAGGGCCATCTCGCTCAGGGTTTACAGGTGATGAAGCATGCAGCGGTAATTCACAAAGCGCAGAAGACACGCTGGCATTGTTGCATGCCAGTTCAAAGTCAAAGACACTTCATGGGTGAAGGACAAACGCTTTGCAACGAGTTCTATCACAACGCAAGGGAACATATCAGCACCAGAGGCACAAAGCAGTGGCAAAGCAAACCGTACTCCCTGACAGTTCGCAGAGTAGAGGTCATGCAAGCTGCTAGTAGCCTCATATACAGTCCGACTCGAGGATAGTCCAGTTTATTCGCAAAAACCAGACTAGTTCTTTTTCGATATCATTTCCCAACAAGATTGGTTGTATATATACAATGGCCATCATAATCCTAGCATTCTTGGCTTGGCTCGCGAGCCGCCATCGGACTCGGGATCTCGACGTAAAACGTGGGCTCATGCTCCCAAGTACGGCATTTCCGCGGAAAAGGCAATTCGTCTCGCAGGTCTGCTACTATCAAGAAAAAAGAAACCAGAGAAGCTGGAGACGCCGGAGAAGAGATGTTTCCAGTGGCGTTACAACCCTGCGGAAATACCTACACCCATGAGCTCAGCGAAGGACTGCCAGTATGCCATGCAGGATAGTAAATCACTTGCTTCACAGCCTGCAAGTTACTAGGTGGATACAGACAGGGACACCAGCCCAGCTAGCATCGAAGAAGCGGCCCATCTTCCAACGGCTAGGATGACCTTTCGGTTGGTAATGCGCAATACAGCACGCTTCTCAGGCAGAGGGGGGGCTTGTCAAACCCCACGTCTGATATCACCCAATGAGAGGCGTGGAGTATTCGCAAAGTTGCATCTCCGCATTCGGAGGGGCCTCTTCTTATCGAGCACTACTAACCTAATTCTGATCCCACGTTCACTGTGCTGTACTGTATAGACAGGTTCGTTATCGCGGCAAGTGTACAGTGTTGGAATCATATAAAAATTCCCTTCTTACGTCGATTTCTGTTTTTTTATGCTTTTACTAAGCGCCGCATGGTCTTTAATACAACATCAACGTCCTAAGCAAGAAGAGGGTCTTCCCTTCTTACAAATCTAGCCCTCTTGTCCTCTTTTTTTTTTTTCCAACTTTCCAATTCATCCCCCCTCCCAACACCGCAGTCGATTGTCGTTTCTTCCACAGCATTCTTCTTTTCGCAATGGCGCCCTCGGTCGTTATGATAGATACCTCGGACGACTTCTCCTTCGCTGCCCCAGTGGCGGCGACTGAGAAGAAGCAGCAGCGCACGTTGCTGCTAGCACCGCCGTCTCTCGCCTCACATCCCACTGCGCTTACCAACGTGCTCTCGCAACATGATCGCTCCACGACCGACCTCCAGATGATTGACCGGTTGTCCGCCGGGCTCGTCAATCTCCCCTCCGCGACATACGATCTCGTCCTAGTCCTCGCCGACGCCTCTTCGTCTCTAAATGAAGTCTTGCCGCTCTTGACCCGAAGCATCCTCGGCCCCATCGCAGAGTCGCTCAAGCCAAACGGACGGCTGCAGTCGCAGAGTGGCCGAGAGCTGGGACAGAATGCTGCGCTGGCAAAGGAGGCCGTTTTGGCAGGATTGGTTGCCTCCAACGGAGGTTTCGACAAGCCTGACTATGGCACCAACGAAGGCGTAGTCTCTCTCAAGCTGGGCAGCAAGAAGAAGAAGTTGGCCGTTGCTGCTCCTCCCGCGCCCGTCCAAACACTCGAGGTCAAGCCTGTCGTCCCCGCTGGCGTTGGCTTTGTCGACTTTTCTGACGATCTCGATGCCGATTACGACGACGATGACCTCATCGACGAAGACACTCTCATGACGGAAGACGATCTCAAGCGCCCCATCAACATCCGTATGCTTTGAACCCCCCTCATATTCCGAAATGCATATATACTGACTTTATTTAAATACAGCTCTCGAATGCCAGCCCAAGGCCGGTAAGCGACGCCGCGCCTGCAAGGACTGCAGCTGCGGTCTCGCCGAGCGCCTTGCCGCCGAAGACGATGCCAAGCGTGCCGCCGCCGATGAGAAGCTCAAGAGTGTCAAGCTCGCCGTCGACGACCTCGCAGAGATTGACTTCACCGTCCAGGGCAAGGTTGGATCCTGCGGCAACTGCGCTCTGGGTGATGCTTTCCGCTGCGACGGATGCCCGTATGTCGGACTGCCGCCGTTCAAGCCTGGTGAAGAAGTCAGGCTGCTGAACAATGAGATTCAGTTGTGAAGCTAGTTCACAAGTTACGTTATGACTGGGTTTCTGTTATCATGATTATGGGCGCATTACTGTTATTGTTATTGCACGAATTGCATCACGGAGTCGGGGAGCTTTTTAAGACATCTACCATTATCTGGCTGGATACGGGTTAACAATATTTGGAGGGGATAACGATATCTAAAGGGTCGTTGAAAATAGCGGGCTAGAGACCCTTTCCGGTCCCCTCTGCACGGCGTTTTTTTGGGTGCGGACACTTTGACGATGTGTCACTTTTAGAGAATCAGAATATATATCTATTTTTTTGCTTAACATAGAATCAAAAAACGCCGTGTGATAGTATGAATGTGAATAAATGCCAATTACGCCCGATATTGGCTTCTCAGTTCCGCCACTAATACCTGGTTAGTAGCTGTAGAATAATTCGAGCACGTTTCGTGTTTGAATTGCAATGTTGCTTGTTTTGTATGCAAAATTATGGTACCGCCCATCCTTGCTACGCCTCTAAATCGATCCTTGTTGATGCCCGTTCTTCTTCTTCTCATGGCCTGCCCCTGTCGGTTCATCATCGCTATCGTCGTCTCCTCCCACAGTGTATTTGCTCTCCGAGCCCGTCGGTGTCTCCACATGCAAGTCATCTAGAGTGGTTTCGTCGAAATCCGCCGCTTCGACATCGCGCCGTCTACGAGAAGAAAAGTTCAGACGAGAGCCGTTCCGGCTTGAAGGCTCGCTGCCGCTGAGTGCTCTGTATGTAGCACGCGCTTTGCGCTGGCGCCAGATAAAGTATCCCCAGGCCAGAGCAGCAACGATGACAATGGCCAAGACAACTTCACCTGATCTTTGGTAAGCGGCCCATTTGGCTGCATCAACCTTCTTGTGCGTCTCTTCTTCCTTGGCCTGGGTGTTGTTGGATGCTCCGCCGACCGTCGTCTCGACACCCTTTTCGCCATCAATGCGGCTGTCAGTAGGCACGCCGCCAATGCTGCTAATGTCGACTCCCATAAACCTGTCCAACATGTCCCGTGTGCGGCGAGGATAATCAAATGGCACCATGTGAGATGAGTTATGGAACAAAACGTAAGTCAAGTTGCGGGCCTCTTGCCAGAAGCCAGCAACTTCACCCTCAAAAGTCCAGTTTCGACGAGGGGCCCAGTTTCCTGGAGCTAGCTCAAAGCCCTTGCCTCCGTTCCATTCCAAGTTATTGATCATATACTCAGTACCGACATGGTTGCAAATAAGATCTTCCGCTCCGGAAAACAAAAGAATGGGGACTTCTTTAAGAAGATCGGGGAGGAGATCGACTGAAGGGACAGAAGTTTTGGCCTTGAAATTCGAACCCACTGCTCCATTGCACTCTTGCCAGCCAGCTGACTTGGCGCTGTTGATGTGAAGCGCTTGTATAACATCGGATCTCCTCAGATATGGAGTGATGTTGGTCAAATCCGGGGGCCAGTTCATTCCACAGGCGGGATATGTGTCTCTGAGACGGACGTCGTACATGTTCCAACAGGCATCTTGCCCATTACCATTCTTGGTCATGGAGAGAATTGAGCTGAGGATACCCTCGCAGTCGGGGTAGTCAACGTGACCCGGATCGCTGCCCATCTTGTTCTGGCAAATTCGAAGGGAAGACTGCAGCTTCTTGGTGACATCCGAGTCTTTCGTAAGGAGCCCCTTCTCGTAAAGGAACGGAAGGTAGCTTTCGTACTGATCTCTGGGCGACATCCATCCATTTCCAATCAGCAATCCCTTCAGGCTCCAAGCTTCCCTCTCTTTCTTCTCTGCAATCTTCTGCTTGTTGCGAGCCACTATCGCTTTGGCAATGTAAGGGATGTATTGTCCAGCGTAGGACTCGCCCGCGAAGTAAAGCTGATGAATTGTTAAAACACAAAATCTGGTTTGCTAAGCCGGAATACTCACATCGTCATGCTCATACTCAGGAAACAGGTCAAAGAACTTCTCCAGAAAGATGACGAATTGGTCTGCCATTTCGTCAAGTTCGTGGGTATAACTGTCTGTGTCGACATAGCTGAAGCCAACGCCGACCGGGTTGTCGACGAAAAGGAGGTTCGCAAACTCGTGCCATGATCCATTGTTCGGGACCAAAGTGTGATCGTCCTTGAGCCTGTACGGCCCAATCTCCATCAACGAGCCATCCTCGGAGCTGCACCCGGGCCCGCCGTTCAGCCATACCACAGTTCTTTGACGGTTCGCAATATGCTGGTTCTGAAAATGCCAAAAGAACAAGTTTCCGTTGTGTTCGGGCGTGATTTCGATGTGGCTATATCAGGGGAAGATACGCGCGTCAGCTATTGAGAGTCTGGAGAAGTCATCCTCCGCCGGTGCTCACGGTAAGCTTACCCAGCATGCATTTTGACGGCCAGCGAGTCTTGCGCCAGCCCCGGAAGGCCGCGAACATAAAAGTCGGCTGCATTTTTCGATTGCTCAGCAGCGGAGAGGGCCGGCCAGAAAGTCGCCAAAGTCATGGCCAGCCATCGCCAGGAAGCTGGCCGCGCGGACGGCACCATGGCGAGCGGTGGCGGCGGAAGAGGCAGCAAAAACGAAAAGGGGAGTAAAAAGGTAGCGCAGCTACCTCGGGTTTGATGGGTTTAGAATGTCATTGACAGAGAGGAAGATGTAGCGATTCAAATCTATAACCGCAACGTGATGGTGGAGGATGCAAGTCGCAAGGTGGCCGAATTCGTTAAGCCTATTCCGCTTTCCCCTTGAGGCATGGATGACATTTGGCACAGCGGATGCGCGGCACAAAACGCCGGGCATTGGTCCCCTAAAACGCGCGAATGGAGTCGCTGTAGCTGCAAGCGATATAGCGCTCCGGCCCCACTCGGCAAGCTTCCTGCTACTGTACCTATTGTCGGTCCAAAGAGGAAAGGCAGCGAATGGGGTCAATAAGAAGCTCATGTGTTTTCTCTGCAGAGAGTAACTTTGAATAGCTTAAAGCTTAGGAATAGTCGGAGAGACTTGAGATAAAGCTGTCTAGCTTTATTGCTAATGTAAATGTATTTGCGCCTGTTTCTGAGCGCGAGATGTTGATGGACGTTGACCTATTCGAAATGCCAACCGAAATTACGCCCACGCTTCAAGGACTTGCCGCTATGGCTTAGAAGCCCTGCCGCCTGCTTAGCATCGATGCCTTTGTTAGCGCATCTAACGTTTGGCTACGTCAACAGCGAGCATTTACGGCTTCAATTTAGCCTCGAATTTTTCATACGCTTGGCGAGGACCTCTCCACCATAGCAAATTTCAATCAGAAGCCTTTGACCCCAGCCTCTCCTGCAGCCAGAGGCCTGCTGATTCAACATCCGGATTTTTTTCTCAAATTTCGCCGCACACTGACATCTCGGCCATCAGCGCACAATATGGCTTCAGCTGGAAAAACCTTCATCGTCGAGCATCTCGACCCGGAGCTCGGCCCATGGTCGGAACTGGAGTATCTGGCCATTGCAGCGGAGAGCGAAGAGACAAACACCAAGTTCATCCTGTCTTGCCTGCCTCCCAACTTCAAAGTCCCGGCTGCCTTGTCCGCTTACAAAGCCTTTACAGCTGAACACCGCGGGGTAGAAGAGCTCTATGCCGGTCAGAAGTCTCGGGTGTGTCTTCTAGATCCCGCCGCAGCCAAGGACTTGGCGCCCGAAGATGGCGAGACATTTGATGCGTTTCTCTTTGGTGGCATCTTGGGTAAGTGGGCAGCATGGCTACTCAGCACTTGGATGAGTGACAACGTAGCTAATATGATAATTCATAGGTGATGACCCTCCACGAGGTGAGCACTGATGACTCTGTTCTCTTGATGGCGGGTTATGGAGTTATGTCTGATAACCTTAGATCGGACCTCTGAATTAAGAAAGAAGGGCTTCGAAGGCAGGCGGCTAGGCCCCAAGCAAATGACTACAGACACAGCTGTGCGAGTTACGCGAATGGTTGTGCACGACAAGAGTAGGTCTATAGCTGAATAGGCAATGTTGCAAGGGTGATTTGATATTGACATTGATAGTCCCTCTTGATAAAATGCCTTATTTGGATTTCCCAGAGCTCAAATTCAGCGAGCATGAAAGCACGGAGATGCCTTTCCGTTATGTCAAGGGCGCAGATGGAAAGCCAATTATGCCAAAGGTGAGATTGCTGGGTTGTCGGGCTGGTTGATTCATGTCAGCTTACCAGGTGCTACAGGGAATGGTCGAGTTGATACAGAAAGACGCTGATAAATCTGTGGACGATCTGTTCTAATTACACTACCTTGTTCGTAGCATTGAATGTGGCCACGCAAGCTTGCTAGGTAGTATTAGCCCGGTAGGCTGCTGTCATGGACAATGGCAAGCTATGCAGGATGCCATATAATGCTATGAGCAAAGATTGCCAAACTTACCAGACTTGTGTGAAACGGTTGCACAAAGCTGCCACGCCCGACAATGCTAGATTGGAAACTGTATTGTTAAGTGTATAACTTTCGTTATCAACAAAGGTAGGTTCACCGAGAGAACAACGTCTTGCAATATCCAAAAGCTGGTTCCCCTATCAGTAATCACGAACATGCAAGAAACGTACTGTAACAACGTCCATGCGGGCTTATGGTAAGCCACATTGTCCCCTCTCAAGATCAACAGCAGAATGTAGCTGGCATTCCCTGGGAGATGCATAAATTATGCAGCTTCCGTTGTCTGGCCAGTCTGATGCGACCTCTGTCTTGTTCTCTGCCAGGCTGCCAATGACCAGTGAGTCGCCCACACTGACCGACCATGAGGCTCATACTGGGCGCTGTCGCTGTACGACACGTCTCGGACTTTGGGATGCCCTCAGCCGCAGTAGCCTACCACGGACTGTAAGCATCCGAACATGCAGAAATTCTCCGACGCATGTTTGCTTCGTCCGATTCGACGGATGAATCGAGCCGAAATATCACAACTCAGCCTCGCTCGATTGTGGAAATGAGATGGACTCCAGCTCCGTAAGCGAAAAGTCTGTAGATGGGAGCACAGGGGTAATCGGCATCTCATGAACTTGTTGACAAATTTACATATTGTGATGGGGTCCAAGTAGAGATAAGTTTGACGCGGGCCAGGCACGCAAAGATTAAGGTGGTGACAGCACGGAAATCACGGATGTAGCATTGTGATATCGGGTCGCAGCAGCTTGACTTGTTTAGCCGGCCATCATGGCAACGGAAGCTAACTATTTCTTTCACAGTCCTGAAGCTCAAACGGTGCAGCGATCAGATTGCATGATGGAGTAGGTAGGATAGACTGAAATTTGCGCTCAGCGAGGATGACAGCATGAAGCCGCCGCCAATCTTGTAGAGGGGTTTTTTGCCAAGACTCTTCTGAGGGCTGCTGCTATATCGTAGCTGGTAGCTGAATTGGAAACGGATTGATATAAATTGGGGTAAAATATATACTTCCGCGGTATCATTTTCACATACATCTATCTAGTGGCGTAATACTAGTATCAGGTCTGTTTCATATAAAGTCAATCCAAACGAAGCCACCGATGTTTTGAGCATGTCGACATCGGCTAAACGAGAGCATTATTCTAGGAATGTAGTAGCATCATATCAACGCTGTAGACGCAGAGTACGTAAATGCACATCAATAAGGAAATAACTTACTTCGCTCACGACGTAGCTCGCAAAGCCGTGTGACTATTAGTAGATGACCCTTGCTCGCGGAATGGCAGTATGTTCCAGAGTTTACATGTAAACCCCTCTATGAGGTAGATGGGACAAATCCTTGACAACTAGGTCGACAGTATCCCAGTACTATCCCTCAGCTGCCTGCTCATGGGTAGAGACTTTTGTCGAGCCCACTACGGCAGCTAAAGGTGTGCTAGCAAGGTATCGGGATTCGCTAATAGATCGGCTGCCAAACTCTTGGGACCTATAAATTAAAGAATCCGTATTCGGAATCTAAGCGCCTTGACGAGAAGCCGGAGCTTGGCTATCGCGGCTGGATAAAGCAGGGGCGGCTGCGGCTGAGAGAAGGGCGAACCTCCAGTCTGCTTCGTACCTGTGGCGTAGAATATGGGCTGATGACGACCGTGGCAGACTTGTTGTCGTTGGCTACCTTATGGATGCAATATGACGTGGCATATCCCCCAGGGCCATACTGACTGGTATGCGATCTAAAATAGACTGAGGTTTATTCCTTCTTTCTTTGTTCTTCGCGGTGCTCGAGACATCCAGGCGAGGCTGCTGAGACTCTTGATCGCGTGAAAAGGCCCAGGCTCTCGAGAAGTCGCTCCACTGGACAAATCAGCCATGGCAAGGGTCGTGCACCATGGACGGCCCTTGCTGCCACGTTTTCCAGACTTGGGAGACTACTCGATGATGGTCTCTTGGGAAGGCCATATCCGCGGTGGATATTGAGGCCTTTCTCTCGGAAATACGACACGACAACGCAACGCCACGGGCACAGTGCATGGCATGGCATGGCTGCTGCTGAAGCCATCGACCAGAGATATGTCAAGGCCAGGATCAGGCCCCCGGCTAGCGTGGGGTCGGTTGAGCTTCTAGAGAAGATCGATGTGCTTTGGAGTCTAATTTGGAATGCAAAATCGGCCGTTGGGTTGGTTCGACGACAAGTTCGCGATGGGTTGGTTTGGGGGCCGTCGTCTCCAATTTTAGCGCCCATCTCGACTCTGCCCGCCAGACACACGGCATGGCCTGGAGGTGTGCTGGGGACTTGACAAATCGTTTCTCGTGATGCCGGCCAGCTTTGATAGGTGGCAGCCCAGGGATTGACAGCAACGGGACAGCGCCATCCGCCAGTCCACAGAAGGATCGCCAGAAGCTGTGGGCTTACATCGTGCGTGCTCCTCATTTGCCCATGGCACGCCCTCTCGTGGCCGGACGAGAAGCAGGAACACGAACCCTGCCCGATGAAGCCTGATGAGTTGATTTGCCCTGCCGTCGGATGCCTTCCACAGTATTCGGCATACCGTCCGTCGTCGCTGCATGGTGCATGCTGCATGGCCATTAGCGCCCTCAAGGAGCGGGAGGCATTATTCTCATCGCCGGGTTGAGCTATGCGCAGTGATCTCGTGCCACGGCTGCAACACTGCACAATGGATGGCAAGCAGCACTGGAATGTCTCAACTGAAGCCTAAAGTCGCGGCCGATGCAGCTGCACGGGTTGCTTCATGTTGCTTGTCCTGTAGCATTGATGTGGAAAAGGCCTCAGCCTGGGTACCAGGAACTACAAGCGGTCAGCGCCCTGTTCGTGGGCTCGGCTGATTTAATGTGAATGGAAGAAAGGCTCGGAGGTCTGGCGCATACAGGCAGGTACTACCCGCGGTACCTGAGGGCGCTGGTACCTTCTCTCGGGAAGCAGAACGGCCTCGCAACTCGCCTCAGGCATGCAGAGGCATCCAACGCTGTCGCTTCGGCCGTGATGCTGCTCGTTCTTCTTCTTGCTGTTGGCACTGCCACTAGTTCTCCATCTCAGTGCCGTCTCAGTGCCATCTCAGTGCCATC